AATTCTTGGTTGTATAAGCTTCTGATTAACTCATTGACTTCAATTGTGAAAAGAGAGCCCTGTATTCAGGACCATCATCAGGGCTGACAACCTTGGCTGGACCCGGCAGTCCTTTCCCAATGTGTACATGGGGCCGAAGCTGTCCATTCCCAATGTGTACATTCCCTTGGAGGCTCCAGCTGCCTATATAGTGATGTGGGGAACCAGCAAGCACCTTATTCAGATTATGTCAGCATCTCTCTCTAACACTCCCAAGTCCCAGGCAGTCAGAGCTCAGCAGCGGGTTACTATGGGGTCTTGTGACAGAGGAGCTGCTGAAAGCTAAAGATAGCATTCCTGGGCCCGCTCTTCACTATACAAGCCTTTTAGCCTGCATGATGCCACCGTACCATGAGGAAGTGTAATGTCTCCTCTCCCTCGCCATCAGTAAGAGGCATAGAGGGGAGAATAAAATTAAACGTATTAAAATAAATTTAAAAAAAACAACAACAAAAAAAACGCATTTTCCCACGGAATGCAGCCCCTATACAAACACACACTCCACATCCAATTCTACACACAGCATCCACTACACAAACACACACTCTGCATCCACTACTCACTACATCCACTACACAAACACACTCTGCATCTACTACTCACTACATCCACTACACAAACACACACTCTGCATCCATTACTCACTACATCCACTACACAAACACGCACTCTGCATCCATTACTCACTACATCCACCACACAAACACACACTCTGCATCCTTGTGGGCGGAAGCAGGATGGGCTCTTTGGGCGGACTCTGGGGCAGGCACCTTGTGCTGTGTAAGGAGCCCCACATTTTGTAATGGCAGCCCTGCCTCTATTAGCACTGAAGAGGTTAATTGTGCACTTTTTTTGAATGGAATTGAAAAGCCTAACAACTTATCAAACTCCACAAGTGTGACCTATTGACACAAAATAAAATGATTAACAAGTTCAAGATTAGTGAAAAATACATTAATCTAGTTAATTATGTTGTATGGACCAATATCCCTCATAATACAGGGTACATTACCCATAAAGGGTCATTATCACTTTTTAAATGGACTGGCTCAAATGCTGGAGATATTGGTGATAAAAAAGGCATTAATCACCTTTACTTGATATATTCCACAGCTTTAAACTAAGCTTTTATAAGGGTAACTATATATAATATATATGGTGAAAAATACATCAATCTAGTTGATTATGTTGTATGGACCAATATCCCTGATAATGGAGGGTGCATCACCAATAAAAGGGTCATTATCACTTTTTAAATGGACTGGCTCAAATGCTAGAGATATTGGTGATAAAAAAGGCATTAATCACTCTCACCTGATATATTCTACAGCTTTAAACTTAGCTTTTATAATGGTAACTATATAAAAGTAATAAACTAGTAGTATTTGTTTTTTTTGAGATGCTAGAAGTCAAATTTTCAAAAAATATTTAACTTCATAAAACATTTTCGGCAATTAATATTCTTAAAGTAAAGAACATATAAATAGTCAAATATCAATCTTTAGAGACTTTTAAATGTTATCTTTGTTAACCCATTTAAATTTGTTTCAAAAGAGAACATTGTGTTCTTCATAAAGCGACGCATTAAAAGGTATTTCAAGCAAATATTTAAGCCAGCTGTTTCAGTAATGGGTGCTTTCATGAAGCCTAAATACCAGTAAACTATAAAGTGAACATTTTTGCATTCATTTACACTAATTATTCATGGTTAATTGATATTGTCATGGTTAATGTATTTTTATAGTCCGATTTCCCCCCACCCTTCTTTTCATACATAGTTAAAAGAACATTGGAACAAAATATATATCTTTCCAGCTATTAAGGCTTTAACCAAATTGTGATCTGTAAACATTTCAAGGCCTCCTGAAGATAAGTCAGTTGAAACACTTTTTTTTCATCTAATTTATAAATATATATATTTTATATATTTTTTATTTGGTCATACCCCCCTCTAGTGGTCTTTACAAATTTTGAAATATGAGTTTTGATGTGAGACTATTTATTTCACAAATACAATAATCTCTGTACCATTTAGCATACACATTTGCTTTTAAAAATTAACACCTTCCCTACCAAGTACTTTTTGGTTTAAGAAAATATAAAATGTAATTGAAATACAGATGTATACAGGACACAATAGTGTGTAGAAACAAAAACAGACTTTTTTCACATACCCCGCTTGTGGTTTTTTTTTTGTAAAGACCCTGTTGTCATTATCATCACCACAGGCTCACAAAATAACTACAGTTTGTTAAAAAAAATAAAAAAATTTAAAAATCTGCATTTTCTCATAATACCCACATATATTTAAGACAACAGACAGGATTGGCAAAGTGCACAGGCAGCCTGCATTAATTTCCTTGTTGTTCTAAGATACTTTATAGCCTTTCATCCATCATCTTCCCACCCTACATTCTGGATGCTGTAATATCAAATTTGCTTGTTTAAGCTTTTCATTTTTCCACGTAGAAGGAGGGCATGGGGCTGTAGTTTACAGAAATGTAATTTTGTTATGATGACATCACACAAAATGCATCAGACTGAAATTTACATCTTCAGCAATTTTAAATGGCAACAGATGCTAATCTTCTAAGGCTGTTCTATTCCTCACCTACCCAACAAAGAATTAACCTTTATCTTCAAGCAATCTAGTTAGAAAATATTTAACTAGTTTAAATAATTAGATAAAACGCATCAACAAAATATGATGTAATCCGACATGTCAGATTTACAATAAAATACAAATAAAAAATAAAAAAAATTCTAGAATAAGTTAAGTCTATATTTATGTTCCCCCGTCAATTAGTATACATTTTATCTAACAGACTGATTTCAGGAAATGAACAGTGCACAGCAATCATAGTCCCTGGACCCTGGCTAACATCTTAAAACATTTTCTCCCATTACAGTGAGTGCTCTGGAGACAGACTCCAATATTAGCTGAAAGCTTACTTATTAGATCTGGTCGCGTACTATATCCATTTTATTGCCTTGCCAACCACTAAGCAATTTTTCCTTTGGATCACACCACAGCAATGCTTTTATGCTTCTGGATGTCATCCTCTTAATAGAATACGACTTACGAGAAGGCGATATGTGTTTAAAATTAAACAAAATCAGTTATGGATCTGGTGAATGTATACGTATGAAGAAGCATATTATCTTTGAGTCTTTACAGTGGCTGCAAAGAAGCAGGCTCTTGGTGGTATAACTTATTGGCCAGGCTCACAGGCATTACATAAAAACAAAATAAAATGCTTTCTTTATTTCAGGGTTCAACATAACAAGAGAATAGCAAATGATTGGCAGAAATCAGTGTTGGCAAAATCAGTGATTTAGAAATTTCTAAATTGTTTTGGTTTAAAATGTAAAGTTCCCTAGTTAATTCTATTCAGTTCATCGATCCGAGCAGGATGTCCAAAAGGTAAATGCCCAGATGTTTTAAAACATTGTTTTAGCATTCTAAATGATGGCGATGACTTCTCATGGCATTTGATTTAATATTTTTGGATACGTTTTTCAAATGATTCCATGTTTTTGGATACACCTTAAATTACTTAATATTTGGAATAAAAATGTTTTTAATTATTTTGATATTTTTATCAATAATATTTTTTGATATTTTAATATTTTGATTTTTTTTTTTAAATTTGTCGCACAATATAAAATCATTTGAAAAGCTTATCCATAAAATATTAAAGGAACACTAAAGTCACCAGAACAACTACAGCTTATTGAATTTGTTATGGTGAATAGAATCATTACCTTCAGGCATTTTGCTGTAAACACTGTATTTTCAGAGAAAATGCAGTGTTTACATTACAGCCTATTGATAGCTTGACTGGCCACGCCTTAGATGGCTGTTAGAGATCCTTCCTGGGTCATGGCTGCCTAAAATGCATCCAAACATTCAGTATCTCCTCCCTCTGCAAGCAGACACTGAACTTTGCTCATAGAGATCCATTAATTCAATTCATTTCCATGAGGATATGCTGATTGGCCAGAGCTGTTTTTGAATCATGCTGGCTCTGTCCCTGATCTGCCTCTTTGTCAGTCTCAACCAATCCTATGGGGAAGCACTGTGATTGGATCAGGCTACCACTTCTGATGAAGTCAGCAGACTGCTTGTTTTTCTGAGTCAAACAGCATGCAGAGTTACAGCTTCAGGCTTGAATACAGTAAGATTTTGCTATATTTATGGAGGCATGAGGGGCCCAGGGTGGCTAGATGGTGGTTTTAACACTGTAGGGTCAGGAAGACATATTTGTGATCCTGACCCTATGGTGACTTTAAATCAAGGCCATGGTAAGGTGATTGGAAGTTTAAAAAAATAATATTATAATAATAATAATAATAATAATAATACTTGCAGATATTGTATTTCTTACCTCACATTCTGTGGATAACTGAAATCCTTAAAAAATAAAAATAAAATATTATATTGAAGGGCATTATGAGTTTCTCCAACCATTCCTTTGCCTTCTTCCCAACTGGAAAGTGATCCATAGTGTAGGTCATTTAGATAGTGGCAACATTCTTATTTAATTCTTTTAACAATTTAGCAATTCCTCAACACGTGTTTTCTTCCTACAGTCAGCGGTTTATATTTCCTGTTTGACAGAAGTCTCTTATCCCTTGTGCTTCGTTTTCTGTGCCATGCTAAGCCAATGATTCATATTTTCTTTGTATATCATTTTCATAATATAATAACTTTTTTTGGTATACATATATATATTCCTGCCACCAACACAGCAGCCTCCGTTAGCACATATCCGATAGCAATAAACCCATGGTAATGTAGAGAATTAATGTACAGCAGTCTTTCTTGTATTTTTTTTTTTTTTTTAATTTCGACATCCATAATTCAAAAATGATGAAGTTCAGATGATTAGATCTGAAAGTTGTATCTTTCCCATGACAAGAGGCGAGTCCAGAATTAAATTAAAAACTTACATAATAAACTCCTGAAAAATGTACCCGAACTTGAAGTTGTCATTCAATTAATTTGGTCTTTGATCTTCGATGGACATGGCTCACCGTTTATGTCGTAATTAAACACGTGATAAGGGTGCACTTCTTCACAGAAGCAATTTACTACCTGCTTAGCAGGAAACAAAGGTATATCCATACGATCTGAACTAGTAGAAGGTTTTTATGCAAAGTTTGTGAGTTTTTAAATTGTCCCAAAAATCTATAGTACACAGATTGCTGCAAAATCCAGCACAGCACCTCTCCAGTGGAAGTCAATAAAAATATTTGTATTTTTGGCCTTTATGAATAATACATATCTGTTTTTTTGTGCATCAGTTACCATTTAATCAGTTCTCTTCAGGCGTGGCTTCATAGTCCAGTACAAGCTAAAAGAAATAAATGTGTTAGGCACGGAACGTTATGAATTAAGCACTCAAAACAACTTAAAATGATATAGCCAGATACTTAACTGCATCATTATCATCATAAAGTATCATACAGTTTATGAGATTTGTGTTTAACCCCTTAGTTACATAGCATACTTTTTCTGTGTGGTACTTAAGGACCCAAGCAATTTTAGTTTAGATGGATGACAGCTAGATAGACACACAGACAGACAGATAGATAGAGCGATCGGGCAGATCAAGTTTATGAACGCACTGTTGCAGTGATGACGATTAGGTAATCTCTAGTATTTTTCATAACACTATTGCCCAGGACCGGATTTCCCATAAGGCTGCAGAGGTCACGGCCATGGGGAGAGGGGAAGCAGAGGGGAAGCCCTGCCTAATCCTGTATCATCTGTGGTACAGCAGGAGTGCTCAGGTAAGGAGGAGGATTGCTCTTTCCCCTTTTTGCCCGGCACACATGGCGGCAGGTCCTCTTCCCCCTAAAGGAAGTGCCGAAGAGCGCATGGAGTTGCTGTTAACATCATAACCCTGTGCTCTCGGCTGTCTGTTGGGTAGCAAAGATATGCAATGAGGAGGGGGACAGAAGAGTGGACCATAAGTTTTAAAAGATAAAGATGAGAACAAGTTAGGGCAGGGGAACAAGTGAGGAATTGGTAGAAAGAATAGGGGGGCAAATAAGGAAAGTAGAGAATTAAGAAGGGAACAAGTAAGGAAAGGGGTAAATGAAGAGTGAGGAAAGGCGAAAAAGAAAGGGAAACAATTTGAGAAGGTAAGGATTATGGGTAGAAGGTATAATTAAGGAAAGGGGAAAGGAACATGTGAGGGGGAGATAATTGAATAGTGTGGTCTGAAAAGAGATAAAAAGGGGCAGATGGAAATTGGAAACACAGTGCACACTAAATGTACACTAAATACCCATACATGCATACTAAAACTTCACACAAGTACGCTCCTGTATGCACACAGTGGCACTCTATAGAAACACACCAATCGCATTCTACAAAATTGTTATTCACATGCACTCACTGACACTCTACACAAATATGCTACTATGTACATATTGTCATTTAGCCATCCAACCAGGCACATAGTTTGAACTGATCATATTTCATATACATCCAGTCAGATAGTTCCATCTCTCCTTCCAGTGATACCCACTCACCCTGTCCCATTTATACACTCAGACACAAAATATGTCACCTACCGCCACCCACATTGCACTTATTGCCATGCAGTCACCCACCTAGTCATAATTACCATAGAGGCATTGCCCAAACTAGTCAAATTCATCCATCCAATCACATACCCCAAACTAGTCAAATTCATCCATCCAATCACATATCCCAAACAAATTCAGATTCATCCATCCAACCACATACCCCAAACTAGTTATATACATTCATTGGAATTAGACTCATGGGGGAGCTTGTGGGGGGGGGCGGGGGGGGAGGGTAGGGGGAAGGGGATGAGACACATGGGGGTGGGGGGAGGGTTGTGTAATACTAGCACCAGGGCTCATTGGTTTTTTACGTTACGAATGACTCATGGATTGTGTACTATGCAATAAAAAGCCTTTTCTCATCAGCCAAGACTTAGAATGGGTAATAATGGTTGACGAGAAAGCAGACAACTATGGATCAGAGTACAAAGCTGATGCAGTCCCTGGAAGTTTCATTTGCCGTTCGCTTAAGAGAGGAAGATGGAAAGGTACTCCAAGCATAAATACAGTAATACTCTTCCTTTTGCCATATTTTAACATTTGATTGAACTGAAACATTAATGCAGTAGACATAATTAAATAGTAAATACATTGTTAAACATTCCTAGGAGTTTCTGTCTGCTGTATACAACAGCTTTAAAACACAACTCAGGAAGAGGAGCAACGCCAGTGAACCACTCATGGACAGCTGTTCATTGTTAATGCAACTCATCAGCTTGAGGATGGTTACTGGCTTGTGACTGAGGCTTGGCATTTAAACATAGAATTTGAATACATGTTGCTGCTTTTAAAAGAGAGATTAGTGGTCTTAAAGCTACATTTTTGGGCTTAGAGGTCTAGTTCACACATTGAGATTCACAGGATTGGTTTATTTATTTATGGTTACCAAGCAACCAGACACATTTGCATGGTGGAACATTCAAACCCGGAGACAGCAAGAGACTGGTAATGTATGCCACACTTGACATTCACAGTTTATGAAAAAATTGATGGGTATCTTAAGTTTTTGAATTAAATTATACACATGGCTGATTCTTATCTGTCATTAAATTCCATCTGTGACAATATACGAACACTTTTTTTCCCTCCTTGGTAAGACGTTATCACATTGCCTCTGTAGGACTGACGTAATGATACACACTAAAACTTACCTTCTATATTGTGCAGATGGTCTATGACCAAAGTATAAAAGCTAAAGAGAAAAATAAAAACAAAAATAAAAACTAAAAGAGAAAAAAAAAAGTATGTTAGATATTTTGAAACAGGTCTTCAAATGTAACAACATTTAATAACATGTTTAACCATAATTTTACTATATTATATATATATATATAAACATCATCTGAAAACAGATTTTAAAATCCAACATTCATTGTCACTTATATAAAGCAATGTATCTAGAAAATCATTGCTGTGACTCAATGGGTGCCAGTGTCCTCAGACTATCATTGGTTTCCAAGGGTGGATAGATTTGCACATGATCATGCAGATGCGCATTTTACATATTATCAATGCACCAGCACAGATGTGAGTTATGGCCTATTGGGGAGGAAGCACCTCTGGTGACTGTCGGGAATACAACATTTAGATGTACTGGTCTGGGTGCCTACAACAACAAAAAAATCCGGTAAACACTGTATTGGTACATTTGTATATAATTAATAATTGCCAAATTGTACTGTAATTATATGAACAGCATGTTTGTTTAAACATTATAGTAATGTAACACTATCTCTGTGATCTCTGTGCAAATCTTGCACAGCTGTCCTTTTCCTGATAGGGACCCACAGATCAGTAAAGTCAGAAGCAGATTGTTATCAGTTGAATTCTAGAAGGGACCCAGTGTACATCTTTAGCCAGGATTTCCATAAATCTAGAACCTCCACCTTGGGTATCATAGAAACAAATTATTAAATTTGTGTTTAATATTTAGAGCAGGCTTCCCCAAACTCCGGCCCTCCAGATGTTGCTGAACTACAACTCCCATGATTCTATCAATGAAATAGATAGGGTGAGAATCATGGGAGTTGTAGTTCAGCAACATCTGGAGGGCCCGAGTTTGGGGAAGACTGATTTAGAGACTATCACGAGCTGAAGTGTCACCAGATTAATAGGACCTGTGTTGATCTCAGTACCCGGTCTCAATAAATAATTTTTCATTTAGACAGTTTGTGATCTCGACTGGCAGAGTGACAGCAGGTGACTTATTTACATAGAATTGTTCATTTACATAGTATCCATACAAAATAAGTCTTACCTTCTCTTCTAACTCTTTAATCTGCCTCTTCTGAAATTCAATTTTTTCTTCTAACTCTTTTACCCTCTGTAAAAAAAGAAAAAAGAATAACTGAAAAAGAGTGCCTTTACTCTCTCGTCAAATGCAGGGCATGTTAATCAATCTTACAGCATGAGTATGAAAAGAGAGGTTATAGGTGGAGGTTACTTGATGAGGGAAGCAGAGACTATCCCTAGTGTACTATGTTGAACCACAATGTAATATGGTCTCTATTTATCTTTGTCATACCCTCCTGCATTTTTTCATCAATGAAAGTATTTGGAAAATACCAGGAAGTTTCAATATTAGTAGGATGACAATAATGGTCAGCATTAATAGGTTCATTTAGGGCAATGCAAGTAAATGGATTGTTCCCAAGTTCCCCACAGAGGCAAAAGAACCGACTGACCAGGGGTAGTCAACCTTTTAATACCTACCACCCATCTTTGTTGATGGTAACGTGTGTGTGTGTGTGTGGGTAGGGTGCTGCGTGTGTGTGTAGGGTGCTGTGTGTGTAAGGGGGGATACAGTGTGTGTAAGGGGGGATACAGTGTGTGTGTGAGGGGGCGGTGTATGTGTGAGGGGGGCAGTCTCTGTGTGTGTGAGAGTGTAAGCTGTGTGAGGGGGCAATGTGTGTGTGTGAGGGGGGCAGTGTGTGTGTGTGTGTAAAGGGTGTAGTGTATGTGCTGTGTGTAGCTGTGAAGACAGATCCCCTTGCTTTCTTCTTACCTTCAACCAGGGAGGGGTGACATAATGCTGCAAGCCGTGGTTATCCAGTGGTGGCGAGCACAGCTCTGTATTGGAGCGTTGCCATGGTAATTCGCAGAAATGCTCTGACCAGCCTGCTCGTAGGAGGCCCTTCCCACCCACTGCTGGAACTAAGTGCCAGCGGGCCGTTGAGGGAGATCTTTGATCTCCTCAACAGCCCGAGAGGGATTACAGCAAGGCTGGCTCTGCAGGGGCTGGCAGGGGAGATGAAATTATCTATGGTCTATGGACACCGAGGCCCACCGGGCATTTTCTGTAGAACCCACCACCACCCACCTAAAAACCCAAACCGCTCAGTAGTGGTTTTTTTTTTTTTTACGGTGGTAGGGATCAGGTTGACTACCCATGGACTACAGGTACAAAGAGCAAATCTGGGACAAAGTGCTATAGAAAGAATAATCTCAATACAAAAGCAAACTAAATGGTCTTGCGGAATTTCCACATTTCAAGTTTGCCTATAATAATGTATACCTATGGAATTTTGTGCTGGCAATGGGCTGAACCTTTACATTTAAATGAACTGGCAACCAAGAGTAGCTGTTAGCGAGTACATTTTAAACTCAGACCACAGTCAGATATGAAACCGTACAGAAACATATGAGCTTTGGAAATAAATTTTGGAATTAACATTTGTTGTGGGTTTTTAAAACTTTGCCCCCTTTCCAATTTGATAGGCTTCATTGGTGGTGATACAGGAGATACAGAACATTATTGTGAGTGTAAAATACAGTGTAACAAAAACATAGAAGCACATAAAAAAATAAAGTATTAGGTCACAACAAATGGTCTTCCTGATGAGACACCATTGTTACATCATTATGGTTACTTGGTAGAGGCTCATTCATAGTTACTATTATCAGATATAGACGATTGTTGTCAGAGGGAAACCTTTCTAATCCTCCAGTTTGCTTTGACCATTAAAAGCATGCATTGATACAAGACATCGCTAAGAGAAGATGCTGATTGCACAGACCAGTGATTTCCCAAGCATGCGCAATAAGCTTCCAATGCTCCCCTATGGATTGATAAACTCAGCCAATGAGACAGGGCTATCACATCGAGAGTGTGCATGCTGTGGGCTAAAAGTCAAGTAAAAAGTCTTATTTTTTAAATTTAGGGTGGGCCCAGGAGTCTAAACTGTCATTGCAACATGATAGCATTAGGAATACATGTTTGCATTCCGAACGCTGGTGTCCTTTAAACAATACAAATAGTTTGTCACCTGAATTGTCACCTGAATTGCATAGCTGTCTTAGTGCAGGTATCTTTAGAACTTGGAAGATTTTTTTAAATGCGATGGTAATAGTCCATTTTCAATTAATAACTTCATGGCCATGTTTCCTGGAATTTGGATCATTAGACACAGATAAATGAAAATCGAAATCCTATCATATAGTCTTTTGGAATGTTCAGGGTTGAAACAATTCCGTACAGTTGTCATTTACCTGTTGAGCATGTTGAATGATTTCCATTCTCTCACGCAATATCTGAGCATCTCTTTCTCGAAGCTCGCTCATCACCTGTCGTTTCCACTGGTCCACTGCACACTTCAACTTTTCCCTTTCATCTTCTGAAAGGATCTGAGACATCTTAGCCCCAGCCTCCTGTTGCAAGGCGTCATATAACATAGCCTCCAGTTCCAATATATGCTTCATAAAAGTAAAGCTATGTTAGTTTTCTGCATCTGATTTAATATTTAATTCAACACATGAATGTCAAGAACACATAAAATTTAAATGAGGTTTGCTTAATATATCTTACATGTGGATCGCTGATTCCATGATCAGCTTAAATTAAATTATGACCTTAATCAATTTTCATTGCATGGTGCAATGTTTGGTTCTCTGATATGCAAAGCTAATGCCGTTACATAGGAAAGAGGGAAATAAAAGTGAACTGTACAATGAAAGAATAACAATGTACAGTGCAAATAAGAGGTGTAAACATATAAACAGAATACCAGGTACCTAGTCAGAATAAAAGACACAATGGGCTTCCCCAATAAACCGGCAATTCTGAAGAATAGACGGGGAAATAGTCAACTTTAGACTAAATATTGACAGATTCTAAGACAGCTATTTTTCTCAGCAGGGTAATTCACTTAAAGGGATACTATAGTGCCAGGAAAACAAAGCCGTTTTCCTGGCACTATACATTTCTATGGTGTCCTCTCCCTCACGCCCCCCTCCCCCTCTCGCGGTGCTGAAGGGGTTAAAACTCCTTCAGTCACTTACCTGAATCCAGAGTCTATGTCCCTCGGTGCTGGGTCATGCTCCGCCCATGCTTCTCCCCCGCAGTCAGCAGAGACCTAATGCGCGTGCGCGGCAATGGCCGTGCAAGCATTAAAATTTCCCCCATAGGAAAGCATTCATCATTGTTTTCCTGTTGGGATTTCGGTGACGCTGGAAGTCCTCATGCATAGTGTAAGGATGTTCAGCGTCATTTAGACAACCAAAAGTCGTCTAAGCACCCAGTAGTTCCTCTAGGGGCTGTCTGGTAAAGGTGGAGTAAACCCTGAGAAGTTATTATTGCAGTTTCTCAGAAACTGCAATAATTACGACTGCACCCAGACCACTTCAATGAGCTGAAGTGGTCTCGGTGCATATAGTGTCCCTTTAAGCAGTAGTTGGGTATTTTTAGCCAAAATACACGATCTGCAAAAAACTTTAATTTCTGCTTTGTTTTTGCTATTTTTATGCCTACATTTGCAATTTCCTATAGATTTCTCCACAAATCCTGGTTTGTTGTTTAAACCCCAGCAACTCTCAAGTGCTTCATTAATATGGTAGACTATGCTCAAGGAAGATAATCCATATTTTAAAGAATGAAAGCATTGATGTCTTCACTGCCAATAAAAGACAGTAAATATAACATTTACATCCTTAGTTAGCTAAGCAAATTATAAGATTTAACAATTTTGGTTTATGTTTCCTACAATGGTGTGCTTCCATCTTAGCTACTTGCCAGTCTTTGTTACAAGTACTGTACTTTGCGCCAGGCAATTAGCATAGAGAAAATACACAAAGAAGAGGATACATTTTTATTTCCCCTGTTTATTGTGCCAGGGTTTCTTTGCAACCCTTCCTTTCTCTGTATCTGAGCTTTCAGCTGATTTTACCGATCAGCTCCTTCATTAATGTTGCCACGGTTACTCACCTGATTATTAGTAGCCAGCCCTTATGCTAATCAGTGCAGCCTATTCAAGCAGCAAGTCCCAGTACCTCCTTGCCCTTGCGTGGTTTCCGGTTTCCTCTGTGTTCCTGGTTCCTGACTCTGGCCTGGTTTCTGACTCCGCTGCTCTCCGTTCTCCTGATCCTGGCTCGTCTGACTAGCCGATCTGGTGCCTGATCCCTGCTTGCCTACTGGACTTTGCTTTTGGTTATTTCTTTATTTGCTATTTATAATAAAGGTGTTTTGCATCTAAGTTCTGTCTCTGTCTGGTTCCTGGTCCCTAACACCTTGTCTGACAGTAACTGTCCCCCTTTAAACACTTTAACATGAAAAGTTAAAAAAAAAAAAAAAAATATAGGAGAGGTTAATTAGCTAGTGGACTATGTAATGCACAGACAAAAATGTCTCCAGTAATGCAAAAATCTAAATAATGTACGAAAACTCATTAAGGATTTTTTTCCTTTTTACTGAAACATTGAAAGAAAACATTATCAAAAAGTGTGTTACCTTGTGAGCCTGATCTAAAGATTTTTTCCGGAAATCTAACTCATCATCTAAATATCCTTTCTGCCTCGTGAACAGGTCCTATTAAAATAAAAAGATGCAATATCATTATTTTTCATGCCACATTCAATGGTCTCTAATTTTTTATCGTCTGCTTTTTTGATCTTACTTTCTCATTCTCAATGTCAATCATCTTTTGTTGTAGAGCGGATTCAGTCACCTCTATTTGCTGAAGCCACTATATATAAAAAAAAAAAGAACAGCTTATTAATTATATATTATTATATTACAGAATTTTCAATAATGAGAGTTATTTTCTTCCAACCACGAATATGGAAAAGGTTTTTTTAGCCCTCCTCTTGATTCTCCTACCAAAGTCTAGATGCTTTAATCTATTATTGGGGTACAACTACAAAGAACCAATGATTTGATTGCCTCCCACTGCTAGCTTCAATGGGGAAAAAAAAAAACTCTATTTGTAAAAAGTCACATGTCTTTTTATAAAGAAGCGAATGGTATAGAATAATCATCCTTTTGAAAGTTTTTCTAATTAAAAAATATTCACACAACATTTCAAGTTCATTTTGTAATTTATTTTCGCTATGTTTTAGGAAACAAGAGCGTGTTGCTTTGTGTATCTAGCATAGTAAATTTCAGATATGTGTAGCTACAAAGAAGATTGGAGAGAAGCATCATTTTTAGGCCGAAGTAGCTGGAAACACAGCCGATCGCAAAACATAACACATTGTCATTTATCCACAATTCCCAAGTAAGTAATTAAACACCAAAGAAAACTGCTGGGTTGTCAAATTTTTCGCAACCTCCTCCTTTTGTTAACCATTTGATCTCATTCTGTTTACACACGCACACAATGACTGCAGTTAAATTTTGCACCATTGAAAATAGGTTACAGAATGTTGCCATAGTATATACTCTAGTTCATGGGTCCTCAAACTCCGCCCCCCCCCAGATGTTGCTGAACTACAACTCCCATGATTCTCTGGCTATCTATATAATTCAAAGAATCATGGGAGTTGTAGTTCAGCAACATCTGGGGGGCCGGAGTTTGAGGACCTATGCTCTAGTTCAGGCATAGGCAACCTTTGGCACTCCAGATGTTTTGGACTACACCTCCCATGATGCGTTGCCAGCATTATGGATGTCAGAGCATTATGGGGGATGTAGTCCACAACATCTGGAGTGCCGAAGGTTGCCTATCCCTGCGTCTAGTTGTTCAGAAGTAACAATACTTCTTACATATAATAAGTGAAAACACAGGTTTGGACAGTAGATGGCGCTATTGTAAACTTTACAGTTACTGTTGTTTTCAATATTGGTTTGTCTCTGCCAGGCTTGCCTAACCTATTAACTACAAACCAGCACTACTGGTCTTTTTAACCAACCTTCATATATAATGTTCACAGTAAAAAAATTTAAAAAAAATAAAAAAATCACCAGGCACTCAGTGTATTCAAACCACAGGCAGGTTTATTGGATCAAAAGGGACAAAGCGGCAACGTTATGATCGTTAAAGAAAATGATACAGAGGTAAAAATATGGTTGTAGAACTTGTGTTTCTATTTTTGCATATCATCCATTTTGTAATAATATTAGACAAAGGTTTGCAGTAAAAAAATAGAAGGACAATATTTGAGATATGCATGTGGTTTGTAATGTAAGGACAATATTTGGGATATACAGGTTATGTGTCTGAAAAATGTAGCCACCTGATAATCATGATATACAACACTTGCCACTAAATAACTGCAAAGAATACATATGTATATGGAAGTGTACCTGTGTGTATTATCACCATCTCATTACTATGATATATCATAAAACTGCTTCTATGCCGCTCCCCTTGCAAGCTTTTAAAGTATGAACAGCAATTCTGGACAAAGTAAATTTAATGGCTATGTAATTAGGCATATAATTATAGTATACATAGATGTAAACCATATAATAATTAAACAATATCTGCCCTACGCATTTCCCCATTACTGCTTCAGGAACAAAAAGACCTTTATGTATAAAACAAAATTATAATAATCTTAGTTCGTCACATAAAGTGACAACTAGCTTGCCAGAAAAGGGCCTAAGGTTATTCAGTATAAAATAAAAAATACATATACAAGTCAAACTGGTTAAATGGTTACCTTTTCAGCCAAATTTAGGACTGTTCTTGCTTGTATAACAACCACTTGTTCGTCATTTGCCAAACTCTACATCCAAAAGTACATGCAAAAGGTCAGTTCAATCATTTCGAGTGGTTTACAGTTATTACTGGCTCATATGAAATAATAAATGCAAGCACATTAAAAGCATGTTTTGTAAGCATATTTTCCATTTCAGTTAACTCAGTAATGGTATTAATTCATCCAAATACCCATCAAGTTTTTGAGCTAATATAATAAGAAGAACCTAAAACAGATTTTCCATTTGAGTGGTAGATATTTGAACAAAGCTTTAACATGGTTTACTTGCCTTTCCTTGCTCAGCACTCGTGGACTCAAACTATAAAAATTGGCAAATGAACATTTTATATAAACTGAATTTGTTTAAAGGGACAATATAGGCATCCAGGCCACTGCAGCTTATTAACTGTCCCCCTTAGTCCTACAATGTAAATCATGGTGGTTTTGTAGAAACTGCAATGATTACATTGCAGGACTAAGACTGCCTCTAGTGGCTGTCAATGTAAAGCCACTGGAGGCGCTTCCTGGTGGCTAACCGATTTTAGGTCGCCTAACTGATGTGGAACGTCCTCATGCTCTGCATGAGGATGTTCAGCGTCAGTAAAATCTCCATAGGAAAGCATTGAATCAATGCTTTCTTCTGGGGAGGGTCTAATGTGTGCGTGGAGCTTGCAGCACATGCGCATTAGGTCCCCCCCATCGGACGACGTCTGCGGAGGTGGAGTGCAAATCTAGTGCCAAGGAAGATCGACGCTGGAATCAGGTCAGTAAACAAAGTTTTTTACATGCCGAGGAGGATGCATGAATGAGGGGGAGGCAAAGGGCATTACATTGTAAGGAATACATATTTGCATTTCTCACACACAATAGGAATCCCTTCAACCTTTGCTACTTATTCAAACGGGAAACAAAGGTAAAACCCATCAAACATAAAAATTATGATCTTTTCCAATGTTTGGAGAAGGGAAACAAATATTTTAGCAAAACTATAATAATTTTTTTTTTTTTTTTTTAAATTGTGTTTAGCCTTTGCACTCAAAAAGTCAAAAACAAAAAGTAAGAAAATCGTATCCCTGATTCAGCTTCAGTCAAGAAGAATGAATGAATAGTGGAAGGAACCAAGAAAAAAGTTTCTAATAGAAAGAACCAGATGGAATAATATTTTGTAAACCAAAAAATATTCTGTTGAACAGAAGGTCAGTGTGGGAGCATAATGATGTATTTAGGAAGAAAATACAACAGAGGCAGATTGTAAAATGTCAAGAAGATGAACTTTAGTATGTTACTGGCCACTGTTTAAAGAAAGCCAATCTGCCCCATACACCTGTTTAGCCGATGGGTTCCGTGCATGCAGCACATGTGGCAACAGCAAAAGGGACAAATGACACAGCGAAACATGCACAATTTAGAAAGTGAACATACACTTACGGCGTTATCCCCTAGGATGTCTAATTTTTTCATCAGCTCAGAAACAATGATATCCTAGAAACACAAACCGAGAAAGAAAGAAGATTGAGCCTTGATAGAAGCCGTGATATTCGCAGGACACTCGAACCACAAGACATAAAAGAAGACTTACTGTAACACCTTCAGCTTCACAATATACTTGCAGAGGACTTTTTCCTTCTGGAAAGGGAATATGGTGAAATGTGATGGCAGGTGATCTCCTTTCCCGCTCCTAAAGATAGAAAAATACAGCTTAAGGAATTGGAGACGAATAGGAGACGAACAGAGTCTGAATAACAGAAAAAGCTACAAATAAATGTTTTTACATTTCATAGCCATTCTTAACCACTTCAGCTCATGGAAGATGTTTGGGTGCACTGTCCTAGGACCCCTTAAGTCTGCAAAGGTAATTAATGCGATTGTTAATAAACTACAATAATTTGCTTTATGAGTTAACTCCACCTCTAGTAGCTGTTTATGCATGAGGACATCCAGAATCACCCGAAACCCTAGGAAAGCATTATACGTCATAAGTACGTTATACGTCATAAGGCCATTGCAGCGCATGCGCATTAGGTCTCCCACGCTGGATGATGTTGGCGGAGGAGGAGCCCGATCCAGCGCCGAAGGACATCGGCGCTGGACCCAGGTAAGTGACAGAAGACGTTTTTAACACTTACTGCACCATGTGGGGGAGGGGAACTATAGGTAGTTTCCCTTTAAGAATTTAAAAACCCACCAAAACTGTTAATTGAATACAGCAGATTCATACACTATACGATTATGCGTCTCTATATATTAAACAAATTAAGATTTTTTTATTTTTTCAATCAAAGCATAGGACATCTCAAAGTAATGTTTAATAGCTGGAATAACAACAAAGCCTGATTAATGAGTTATCTAGTTTCCACCAAAACCCATCTAGCATTTTCTCAGCTAAGAAAGTATTTGTATTGCAAATCAAATAACTTGCATGTCTGTTTAAAAAAAAAATTGGAAAAAATTGAAATAGGAACGCAAACCAGTGTTTACGATTAGTGTAGGAAGTATTCTAAGGAAGTTCTCTATAATCTTAGTTTGGGTGCTTACTTCAAGCTCAAGAATTCTAAATTCCAGTAGTTCATTCTGGTCTTTCACATCCTGTACATCATGCCGCAGCTTTGCTTCATCCGTCTCCATCTGTTTAATCTGACAAGGAGAAATCATCATTTACAGTTCCTTTTTACTCCTAAAAATCAAAGAACAATAACTTAAATTTGCATAATGTTTATGATTTCCCGGTTCCCAAAATACTTTAAATCCATCTTAAAAAAACTGAAAGAGGTAGTTTTTTTCTTTAAATATATATATACACACACTTACACAATGAAAGCCTTTAATCTATCAATTGATCAGTATGGAAAAAAAAAAAAAGATTTAATCTAACAGCAAGAGGGTTTTCATTCTCCAAAGTTAGTTGTATTAATTTGCAGATCACCAGCACAGAAACATACCTTTAAAATGATGTAAGAGTGGTAGGATCATTTGTTTTCTATTAAATAGACACCTTCTAAGTAATGAATTTATGTTTGTTTGTTTCCCCAATAACCATATAAGGCCACTATGATTTGACTGGGGCCCTGTCAAGGGTAATTAACTTGTAACTTGTTTGTTGTGTTACTATACAATGAATTTAAAAAAAATAATAATAATAATAATTTTTTCAGATAATTTTTTTATAGCTGTCATTTGCAGTATGACAGAAACTGAATGGAAATAGGACAATGTCTCATAGATCTTTAAATCATATAACATACGTCTCTAAAACAGTTCAAGGAAATTAAGCTGCAAGGGATGAATCACTCATGGATCTGTCTAAGTCAGTGGTCTAAAAGGACAGCACGTAAAAATATTAAGGTTAAAGGGATACCCAGAACCCGAAAGCATTTTAGGTTGCTGAAAAGTTTTGTGTGTGAAGTGTGCATCCTCTTTTTCATTTTGCAAAAAGTGCAGATGTCAACAGAAACTGACACTTTTATAAATTAATCTGGTCATCCCCCCACCCCCCTTTGGCTTTCAAGCAGACAGGTTCTGTTACTTCCTGGTTTGGTTAGCTCAGTGGAGCTAAACTCAAAAGGAAGCAATTACCCAGAGCACCTGCCTTGCACCTGCCTTCTCATTGAGCTGCACTGGGGAGACTCTGATTGGACAGCCACAGAAAGTATGGGCGGGGTTAGCAGGACAGAACTGGCAACGACTGCAGACAAAACCCAATGGAAAAAAAAGAATAATTAAAGGCATGCAAGTTTTCGTTTAGTTTATTTGTACTAAGCAGTGATTTTTATTTATTTTGTATTTGGGCTATGAAGTGTCCCTTTAAGGAATAACCAACAGACATTTGATCATAAATATAAAAGGAGAGCAAATCGTTTTCGATTACATATGAGTAGTAACACAAACACTCAGATGCTCATTTAAGAAGATCATCACGTGTCTACGATGAGTAAAACAGGTACTGTAACGCAATTCTTTAACAGACAGTAGATTAACAAAAAAGTCATTTAACGCAAGTGGTCTAAGCCGTTTAAGCTAGATAGACAGACAGACCTATGCAGCATAAGAAATATGATTAGGAGGTTATTGCTAGAAACATGACCAGCATAACGTGATAATGTCTTACCTTTTCTACAAATTCCTGATTTCTTTTGTACAATGCCTGTTTTTCCTCAATCCATTTCATGTCCTTGAAAACAAAATGTAATATCTGTAGACATTTCTTGTTTATTTCCGCTCATTTGGCAGATAATTGCTTACTGTTCCTCAACTGGGATCTAGTGCAGAGTCCGCAGTTTAGTAAAACAGCATTTAATAGCCTAATTTGCCTTTGAAATGCCTAAAAGTGGTTCTAGGTAGGGTTGGAAGTGAATAAACAGCAAGTCTTTTATCCAGAATACACTTGTTTTGTGTTTGCATTTTCAAAAGACAATCAGAGAATATTTGTAATGATAAATACTATTTCCATCCCACAGTCCATTAAATAGTGTGTTAGTCTATGATGAGTAGCTCCCAAATTTTCTTGGAAAATTTCTTATTTTAGACACCGTTGCAAATGATGAATTTTTGCTACAAAAAATATGATAAAATGTAATAAAACTGCATCATAAAAAAAAATTTAAAAAATGAACTTTGAGTTCCGTAGCTATCTTTCATATAGATCATTTTCTATTAACGAAAAATAATATCACAATATTTAACTAAGGATATATAATACTTGTATTGTCTTTTATATTGATTCTTGTACATCAAAAAATATATTAAATGGTATTGATACCGTTAACAACCTTGGGATGCTTTTAAATGGTTTCAAGGAAACTGTTACTAACAAGTTGCTAATCTGAACGTTACTAAATAATATTAGTAACTACAGTAAGTTCCAGGCTACAAATGTTCACTGGTAATTAGTGGCTGCTAGACATAGTAAAATCTCCCAAAGAGCTTATTAGGAGTTTATAAGCACGGTTTAGTACCTGTTTTTATTCACCATGCTATACAGTGAAAGTAACTAAAAATTACACCTGCCACATCTAGGTGTAATGATAAAAACACACACATACAACTGTTAACGCTCAAACACTTACAACTGAAAACGAATTAATCTTTATAGAAATGGTAACACATATTATTATTACTAATATGTTATTTATATAGTGCCAGCAAATTCCGTAGCGCTGTACAATGGGTACTTACAGGTGTCAAGAAGCAAGATAATAAACAAAAAGTTTCCCACAATGCATCAGCTATTTTTTTTTTTATGTAGCGCACTCAATAGTAAATATTAAAGATATTCTTTATCTTATGTGACAAAGCAAAAGTTGCAAAATAAACAAAGTTGTAATATGTAAATGTGTTTATCTCTGTTGAGCAGAAAGCATGAAGTCATTAAAGGTTTAAATAGCTTACCTGGCCCTGCTCAGACATTGCTTTTTCCAGATCCTCTATTCTTGTTTGATATCTATTTATATCTGCTTGCAGCTGTTCCCGAGTCTGTACATCACAGAAAATACATCAAAAGTTTTTAATACTCTATGAAACCGACAAGAAGAATTGAATATCAGACCAACAGTTTGCTTTAAGATTAAATGACATTGTATGTTCTTATATCTCAGATCATAGGATCAGGGTAAAAACTGAAAGAATGAAAAATTAGCTAGTTAAAGGAACACTTCATAATACACACACACACATATATATATATATATAAAAATATATACGGAAAGACCTCCTGGGTCGAAACGTTGATCCTCTTCACTACACATAAAGCTTGATTGAAAAAATACTTTGGAGTGATATATATATATATATATATATATATATATATATATATATATATATATATATATATATATATATATATATATATATATATATATATATATATATGTTTAATTAGCCGGATTAGTGCAGTAGACAAGATACCAAAATACCAGGGTATTGCTGCAGTATAGAATGATACTTTTTTTTTATTGGACTAACATTATATATAAAAGATTTTGAGAGTTTTCCTGGTGTAAAGTATTGCTTCAGAAAACAGATTAAAGGGCACTGTAGTATATCCTTGACACTAGAGTTCTAAAACCCTTACCTCTTGTTAGAAAGGTGATTTACTCACCTTTTTCCAGTGCCTCGCATTTGACCCCAGCCCCAATCTGCCTCCTTGGCTGACATTAGCAGATATGATGATTTCAGCCAATCACAATGCTTTTCTAATGATCTCTGCCAAGGATGTAATGCAGGGGGCAGAGTTAAACGCCACCCTGTTCAATCAGCATCCCCCATATAGATGCATTGAATCAATGCATCTCTGTGGGGGGTAAAAAATCAGCATCTCCATGAAGGGCGTCAGTGCAGCACTGCCCTAGGAAGCACCTCTAGCAGCCATTTGAGGGGTGGCCATGAAGATATCCCTAGGCTGTAATGTAAACACTGCATTATTTCTGAATGTTTTTCTATTATTGTTATGTTTTGGAAAGAAAATTATGTTAAAAAAAACCCCACAACAATCTTTTAGATATACTCCTAAGGAAACCATGCAAACAACATGGTGTTGCATGTTTTCTTTGGGGATATCTGACATTTCCTGGCTTGCAATACTCTACACCCTCCTCTTGTTCTTCAGCAGAGACTTCCACATCAGTGATGTTAAATGACCAATCAGGTGCATTGCCTGATATAAAAGATATATATATACACACACACATATACACACACATATACACACACACACACACCTTAACTTCTCGCTCTGCATCAAGCGTTCCACCAACTTGTTCTTGTAGGAGTGCATAGGCACGTTGTAAAGCTTGATATTCCATGGTCAGCTGGCGAAATCTCAGCTCAGTCTCTTCTTTGGCCATACCCTGTTACATAAGCAACACGTTGCAAGTGGTGCATGATTTCAGTACATTCTGTCAAGATATGTAACATTTTATGATCTACGAATTTCTTGTTAAAGACTCGTGGTATGTGTGCAGTCTCTACGAGTGAAGAGACCCCTTCTAAACTTGGCCACATATTGTAAAGGAGAGAACTGCTTATGATCCCCAAATAAGTGCAGCTGCACTTGAGTCCTTTCAACATAAGTGTGGTCAGTCTGTAGCCACTGAGATGGTCTGATGGAAATAAAGAGCTTCCTTTTGCATTTGGACTTCACAGCAGACTTAAAATTTATAGTCTCTCTGCTTTGGCTTTAAGCCCTTTTAGACAACTTCAGAGTCCATCACAAGATAAAATCCTATCCAGCAAATAAGGTTGTTCTAAAGCTAGACTGATGTACATAACAACATAGGATCTTCACTAGAAAGAGATTGCGATGGTGTAGAACATCATTAGTTATAAAATAATTAATGGTTGTTTGGCACATCTTGTTAATGTGGCATAAGTTAAATCAAACCCGTTTTTGCAGTACCGGATTTCCTATTAGACAGAGTAGGCATCTGCTCACAGGTACCTGTCCAGAATGGATGCCTGTTTTCAGCAGTTATAATGTGCCTTTTTGGAGCTCATGTGGGCTGGTGGAGAGAGATAACTATTAGGACCCTTGGCCAGTGATCTCTGTAGTCCCAGTCAGCCTCAGGTACTCAGTAGCAGAGCTGCAAGTACAGTTATAGAGGATGTAAAACTCAGTGTTGTCCCAGCTCCTCCAGGATCTGTGTGTGAGGCTGGACAGGAAGTGAAAATGATCACTTCCCATCTGCCCACAAACAGCCTCTCACACAGGAAATGCCTTGCAAGAGAAGCAGGTACAGCAATGAGTGATGAACACTGTATAACAGCTCATACAGACCTACTATTGATCTTATGAGGGTGACTGGACTATAGAAGACCTAGGAATGAGTATTTTTTTGTAAATAACACTTAAATCTCCACATGCCTTTAACACCCCTCTTTACCTAATCCTAAATTGAGCCCCTCCCAAAACCTAAACAAACACTTTTCTTCATTCCAAATATAAGTACTCAAAGTCTAAACCTGAAAAAAAGGCATTTTGCCTCAACCCTAACTCCTCTTAAAAACTAAACAACTGATGTGGGGGGCAGAGGGTACCTTAGAATTCTGCGCCTATAGGCACCGGACATGTAAACCCAACCCTGACTGTAAGGGAGCATAGTTTGGTTGGAAAAAGGTAATATTTAAATTGTACCTCTTCTACATCCTCGTCTGGAGTGCAAGGTGTGCGATCTGTGCGATCAGTTTGGTATGAAACAGAAGAACCATCTGAATCCAGGGAAGCTTCTTCATCATAACCAAAAAATGTCTCCACAACAGGCTGGTAATAGTGGAAATGATATGGATGCTTTAGGATTTCAGGGCCATAAGAGAATCAGTAATGTTTAACATTTTATAATTGTATGTGCTTGACTGAATCAGCTACAAAAGAAATCAAGAATAAAACGTAAAAAAAAAAAAAAAAAAATAATCTGTTCACACATTAGAATAAGTAGCATAATAAACTTCTTATAAGGCTTCTGACATCAAGATGAGTGAGAATATTCAATTATGCAATTTATTTGCTCAATAAAATGTCCAGGGAAAACAAAAAAAAAACAAAAAACAAAAAAAAAAAGTAACATTTTCTATAACAAGGGATGGGAAATGACAGGAGCAGAATGATGTGATACACTGATTTTACTACATAGGAGGGATTTCCATCAGCATTTTACTTGCCATAATGGCTATTGAGTATATTTTGCTCTGTTTTGTTAAGCTTTATTTATTTGGTTTTAGTTTGCCATTGTGCTGTATGATATATGGAAATACTGTTAAGCCTGTAGTTGTGGGAGAGGTTTATTCACCCTATAAATATCTGTACCTGCATTGGAGGAAGTGATGTCCTTGTACTGGAGCATCGATTTAAGTCATTGACACAGTAACGAGCAGCAACTTGTGGGGGCTGGAGGGTGAGAATATGTCCCATCCTTTAGTTTAATAGCCCCCTCTTGTGGGGCACTTAGATGGATACTATGTCCTCCCCAGTTTATTATTTCATTAGGGGCTCCACTATCGGAGGAATACTAAGTCCGCCTTTTCTGGATTAGCGACTGAGCAGCAATAGCGTTAATGGAATTTTTGCAGAACTAAAAGTGGTATAATTGCACCTGTTTTATTGTCATTTCTCACATTATATTATTGTGTCTAGTACAGATAACCCTAGCACGGAATAGCAGGAAAATGTACAAATGTTCCATCTAGTTTTATCTATTTGATGCAAAATTATTAGCAGATAACTGATTGATTGTATGCTTGTTATTTGTTCTAAGAGTTATATATCTATATAACGAATAAGTGAGTGCGCAAGAACGTAGTGTGCACGTGTCCAAAAATATAAAATATATAGAAAAATCTCATTATAAAGTACATTGCACTGTAAATATAAAACAGCATTCACTAACAAAAATATGCTCGAGCCATATAGACGTTTGTAGATTAGTGCCAAAAGTAAGAGTCTTACTGTAAATGACAAGGATGCATTATGGTAACAGCCGCTGCTTCTACCGACTTAGAAATGGAAGAAATATTTTTTCTTGAAACTGTTTGTTCGGAACACGAAGCATACACATTTGAAAGTGGAAAATATTTTACCTTTGGGAGCTTTGTCATTTTTTTCCTTTGCTTTCTGAACCTTAAAAGCTTTTCTCGGTCCTGCATTAAAAAAAAAAAAAAAGTTAAATGCATGGTGAAATTATTATTTGTTTCTTCTTTACAAAAACATTCATGGCAGCTGCGTGAGTGCATTGAAAGGCATCATGTTCAATTTCTAGCTTGCAAAAGAATCTATTGGAATAAATGTGTTGTGCTAGTTTATCTGCAAAAGAGAAGAAATGCTTTTTCACGGTACCTTCTCTTACTGTATCTGGGACAAGACATTATTGGTTTTGGTTTCACACGGGTTAAGGAAGCATTCTGTGATCATCTAGTACCTACTCAATAAAATGGATGGGGTTATTCTGCATGTGCAGTACATATACCATTTACGCTCTGCACATGTGTGAGTACCTCCCGCTGGTATTTGTAGGAAGCACTGCGTATGTATGCATGTAAGATGCGCAAGGATCATCAGGAAACAACAAGTCACTTTCTAGTAGGTAGATGGTACTCAATCACAAACATAATATGCAAAATGAAGACATTTGTATTTATTCTTTTTATTGTAGCAGCTATTTTTTTTTTTAGGATATATATATTTAACGCATTAGCTACACACAGTTTTATGAAAAAAAGTTTTAGGACACCTCATATGACGTGTATTTTAAAAATATAAAAATATTGTATATAAATGCAGATAAATATTTTCTGTAGCAATTAAAGCTATATATATAGAATTCTGCCATCAAACACCCAGTAGTTATTGATAAAAGGTTGAAAGGGACTCCTAAAATGAGATGTGAGGCTTGAGAATCAAAGGCATTACAGCAAGGTTTATAATGTGCCTTAATATTGACCCATACTGTGCAGGATATCTATTTGTTTTGAATTTTTCACGGATTTGTATTAAAAAGACTTTGAACATATCTGTTGCTATATATTAATGATTTTTTATTTAAAGGAACACTATAGGATCAGAAACACAAACGTCTATTCCTGACCTCATAGTGTTAAAATCACCATTTAGGTGGCTTGCACCCCCTTAAAAGGTAATAAAATGTACCGTATTTCCAGCGCTGCGTGGGTCTGACTCCACCCTTGCTGAACATCTGAATTTATGATTTCAGCCATTCCAATGGGAAAACCTTGGATTGTCTGAAATTGGCAAGGAGGTGGGACAGGGACAGGGACAAACGCCAGCTTGCCCAATCAGCACCTGCTCATTGAGATGCATTGAATCAATGCATCTCTATTAGAAAGATTCAGCTTAACTGCAGTGCAGCCCACTGTGCAGCACTGTCCCAGGAAGCACCTCCAGTGGCCACCTGAGGAGTGGCCACTATCAACTCCAGTGGCTACCCACCTGAGGAGTGGCCACTGAAGGTGTCCCTAGAGGGCAATGTAAACACTGCCTTTACTCTGAACAAAGATTTTCTATTTTATTGCATAATGCTGTACATTGGTCTTATATTGTATACGCAGATTTTATACTTGGCTTCTGGTGTAATCAACCAGCTGTAATCAACAGTTTTTTTTAAATTAAATACATAGCCACAAAACAACAATGTATAAATGGTGTTAAAGGAAATACACTTATTTTTCGCTTCACTTGGGCAAAGTGACACTACGGTCTCGATTTAATAAGCTTTCCAAATGATTCAATACGGATAGGGGAAAAAAAAAAAAAAAAGTTTCAAATAATTTATCTCCAGATGTCACCAGTAAAGTCTATAGGAATTTTTGTTAATAATCATTTTAAAAGTTTCTCTAATATCATTGAATTATTTGGAAAGCTTATTAAATTGATGCCTATATTAGTTTTATTCTCAGGTAGGATGGTATTTGGTTAGCGAATTGGGTAATGTAGGATCTCTGATGAGGAGGCGGAGAGGAGGAGGAGACCTCCCCGCCTGGCGCTGGAAAAAGGTAAGTTTAACCCCTTTCATCTCCCAAGAGCCCGGCGGGAGGGGGACCCTGAGGGTGGGGGCACCCTCAGGGCACTATAGTGGTCCTTTAACTAGCAATTATTAGCACTGTGTATATGGGTTATCTTGAAATTACAGCATAGTCAGGAGATCAGATTACTTTATGGATAGTTGTAGATGCGAATATCCATTATGCTCAATATCCTAGCTGTTCATATAAGGGTTAATTTGACCCAAGAATAAATTTGGAATCGTATCTCATGTCACAATGACTTATCTGTCATAATGTCACAAAAACGTATCTATTTACGGGAAATGTTATTGGAACATGATTTTGGATATCTACATGACATAAGGATTCTGGAATGACCTTGTTAATTGTCCAAGATTTCGGTATTTGTAATCATCTGGGTTTTATCCAATATGCATACATTATGTAACATCGAATTATAACTAAAAACAGCTGTTTATAACTTGTGAAAAACAATGTCATTGTCACGCCCATATGCTCATTTTTCCGCCTCCCATCCTGCTATGAAAATGGGGTATAAATATAACTGACGTATGAATACAATTTGAATTGGTTATTGAACACGTCTCTGCTATTCATTTCCAATTTCCAGAGCTCTGAATGAGTTGGCAAATATCCATCATCCACAAAGGGCCCGGGCTGATTTTATCCCCAACAATAGTAAAAGTGTTACCTTTTTTAAAATAGTGGTAAAAGTAATGTTAAAATGCTGGTGGGTTTTTGTTAAATGTATAATTGTGAAGAAAGATGTATAGCTGAAATTTCTTGCTAAAAACAAACCTAATGATTTAAATTATTTTCACCACTACCCAAAGTCAACTCTATCCAGTTTACTGTGAGTTAGAGGTTGGCAAAGGATCATGGGAGTTGTGTTTCTGCAAAATCTCTTGATGATCTTTTTGCCACCGTGATGTAAAACATACAAAACCCTCTATTCTCTGCCTCGCTGTCCATATGCAACTACATTTCCATCTAACAAAGTTAAGTAATACCGAATGTGTATTTTAATGTATATGTTTTTTTTTTTTTTTTATATTTAGGCACGACGCGTTACTCTAAAAGATTACTTACAATTACACTCTTGACATAACCAGCCGTTTCCAGAGTCTGTGAAAATAAAATTTGGAATGTTTATATGAAGTTATAATACAATGACATAATATAATTTTCTAACAGATACTTTTTATATTTTTTATTATCCATATTCTCTATGATAAAGTGCACATCAACATATTGATGAGTTGAGTCTCCCACAGACATCCCTGGACCTTCTCCCTATTAAGTTTTCCAACCTTATTCAGATCAGTCAACGAAACGCCGCTAGTTGCGGTCAGGAAGACAGCCACGGCAACAACTAAAAAATGGAATTAACATTACCTAACAAATCAGACAATAGCACATCTTAAAAACTTACACATATATAAATACTAGGCATGTGCATTGGGAAAATATTCGGCTTGGTCCAGCATTCCGAAATTCGGGACTTCGGCACTCGAACACTTCGGCACTTCGGATCTTAGACACTTCGGAACTTTTCTTGCAGCCGCTTAGTAGATAACTCCCTAATTCCCACGGTATTAGGGAGTTATCTACCAAAAGGCTGAAAGACCTAAATTGGTCTTTCAGCCAAATTTACTAAGTAAAAATTACTTAGTATTAGTAAATTTTTCCCCTACTCGCTATACCGCGAGTAGGGGCATGTCTATTAAACAGTGAGCAGCCTATGGTAACTATGGCTGCTCACTGTAAAAAAAAAGAAAAAAAAAAAAGGTGGGGGCCCTAAAGTAAAAAAAGGGCGAGGACCTATTGTCCTCCCCACCAGCCCCCACCCCTGAGCGGCGGGTGAGGGCCCTTAACAAGAATAAGGGGAGGACCTAATGTCCTCCCCCCTGGCCACCACCCCTGAGCAGGTGGGGGCCCTAAATACAAATTGGAGGGGACTTTTTGTCCTCCCCCTGGCCCCCTACCCCTGCGGTGGGTGGGGGCCCTAAACAAGAATAAGGGGGGGGACCTAATGTCGTCCTACCCCCTAGGCCCCACCCCTGAGCGGTGGGTGGGGGCCCTAAACTAGAATAAGGGGGGACCTAATGTCCTCCCCTCTGGCCCCCACCCCTGAGCGGTGGGTGGGGGCCCTAAATACAAACTGGGGGGACCTAATGTCCTCCCCCCTGGCCCCCACCCCTGAGCGGTGGGGGCCCTAAACAAAAATAAGGGGGGAGGACCTAATGTCCCCCCCCGGCCCCCACCCCTGAGCGGCGGGTGGGGGCCCTAAATACAAATTTAACCTCCCTCCCCTCAGATGACTAGGGGTCCACAAACCCCTATTCACCCCCTCCCCCAAAAAATAAACTCCTACCTACCTACCAGGCTGCTCACTGTTTAATAGACATGCCCCTACTCGTGGTATAGCGAGTAGGGGCATAATTTACTAATACTAAGTAATCTTTACTTAGTATTAGTAAATTTGCCTGAAAGACCAATTTAGGTCTTTCAGCCTTTTAGTAGATAACTCCCTAATACCATGGGAATTGGGGAGTTATCTACTTATTCATTCCTGTCATTACATGACCGGCTAAGTAACTTACATTTTATATGAATGTATGTTACTTGATTGTTGTAAGTGTTGCAAATGCTTACAGCTAAATCCTGTCTATGTTTGTATACTTTTTATTTGAAATGTTATACAATGTAACATTCTTCTTCTTTCACTGGGTAAGTATATTAGTACTTAGGCAATACTGTGCTTCGGAACTTCGGCACTTTGACACCTCGGAACTTCAGCAATTCAGCTATTCGGACATTCGAAAGCACCCGAATGTCCGAATTACCCGAAATTCGGCCGAATTTTTATTTGGACCGAAACTAATTGCACATGTCTAATGAATACATATATTACCAGAAACCCAATACCTTATTGAGTAACTTACTTACAGAGGCCTCAAAAGATAAATTGTACTCGCCATAGTTAATTTGTATTACGAACCTGTAGCCTATGCCATCTCACACTCATTAACAAGATAAAGGTGTTCTCTAACATATAATTAAAGAAATTGGCAACAAAATAGAAAAAAAAAATAATGTTTTCATAAAGTCACTGCTTGAAACAGAGGGAGAAATGAAGAAAGTAAATGAATTGGAACTTTGTCTCTAGAACAGATTGCAAAAAATAACTTTTGACAAGGACCTTTTGTTCTTTTCATATTAACATCTTACTCATTCTTTTAATAAGCCCTCCTGTACAGGTCTGTTATAAATCAATATGACACGGCTAAATCAATTTCTACCTACCTTAGAAAGTTCATCTATTATGATTTGTTGTTCTGTTATCTGAAGCCTAAGAAAGTCAATTTCTCGCTCTTCTCGGCTTTGGTCGAGATCGTTCAATGAGCTTGGTCTCCTAATAGTGCCAACTTTTTGTCTCTGAAACAAAAAATAAATAAATTTTAATACGGCAAATAAACCTGTAACTAATGAGAGCATTTTGCAGCAATGTATCTTCAGCTTGTTAGCCATTCAAACGTATTTGTACCTCTTTGTTCTGGATACCCACCATTTCTATATTCTCTTGCATTAAAAACTTTAACTTGTTTTCCATTCTGCGCAAAGAATGGGACATTTCATCATTTTTCCGACTCAAGCGTTTATTTTTGTCCAAAATAGGTTTGTATTGGCTCTCGGCTTCTCTTAGACGTTTCACCTGGAAGGGATAAGCATGCAAAGATTTTACATGAACCAAAAAAACACAGTTTTACAATCAAAAGAGTTCTACCCTTAAACACATTTTACAAAATGTTACCAGTAATGTAAAATGTATGGACACCAATGCATTGTAAGTAGCTTGATTAAAGGGAAACCACGGGACAAAAATGACCAATTTTTAAAGCATTTTATTAAAGATAACTTCTGGTATCTTTGCGGCTAGCAGTGCAGTAGCCGTGGGGTGCAGGGAATGGTGAGTTTTATTTAAGTGAAAGGGTCTCTCGCAGGCACTGCTATCTTGTTCCATGGGATACTATTCAGCTCCTAGTGTTTAATATGCCAGGAGCGGACATCAGTGCGATACTCTTGCCTATGTGCAAGAGTTCAACACTGAGGTCAATGGAAGAACCAGTGAGACGTGGGGGCCTCCATAGACAACTTCTTCCCTCAGACATCACTAGTGACTAGCGTGATAGTGGTAGCTCTGTCTTTTTGTCAAGCATTGTCAAGAGTAGGAAAAATATGTCTACTTTTTCTTCCAATATCTTTCAACTGAGCAAGAATTTCAATTAAATAACAACACAGTCTTTAGGAGCATTTCATAAAGATTATATTATATTTTTTGGGTGGAGGGCCAAAAAAAAAACCCTTTAAAACTCCCTATGTTAAACAGCAGTGTTTACAGGAATAAGTAGTTTGTCCACCAAGAGCAGGCCCATTCATCATTAAAATAGTTAAACTGCTCTGTAGACTGATAGCAGCCATACCATAGCTACTATAAGTTGACTATAAGCTAGCCCCGCTCTCTGCTTAAAGTAGAAAGAGTTCAACCAAAGTTGTCCAACGTTAGTTCAAACTTTGGCAAAAACTTGAAAGTTGTGCTTGTAGTGACTATTTTAACCCAGCTTGGATACTGTGATCTGCTGAAAAAATAGATCATTCCAGTCTGTATGTTCATACATACCCAGAACTTTGCAGAAATGGAACACAAACCGAAATATGGCATTTCATGGTGGAGGCGTTCTTTTGTCGTTAAGTAATTCTGCCCTGGAATTATACCTTTCAGTCTGATACTTTACACAATTCTATCCATAACATGCAACGTGTATTCTTAGATAACTTACCAGCTCATTTCTTTCTTCTGATAGTAAAGCATTTCGATCTTCTAGTTTGCGGATAATTGCACTTAATTCTGCAATTTTTAGTTGAAATCGACGCGCATCCTTTTCATCCAACTGCTGTTCCTAAAACAAAGATCAACTGCAAATAACTGTATATAGAACACAATGGGAAAGTACAATGGGGGGCTTTAAGTAACATTTTAACTGCATTCTTGCCCTTACGGCACTGAACAGGTTAAATGGATAGATATTACAGATCCCTGAAAAATGAAAAACATGGATATGGAATGCAGGAAAGAGCAGAAAAATAAAAATATGCCCATGAAAACGAAACAAGCCACAAAAGAGAAAAAAAAATAGTGCCATCTAAACCAAATATAGCTCAATTGCGCTTATCAAAAATATGATATATACCACTACTAGTCTGTTTAATTTATATATTTTAAAGAAGATTGACAAAGGATCAAAATGTCTCTTAGTAGGACTAGTTTGAAGATTGGGGGCCACCAGCTCCCCCTTCCACTTACTCCACCATAATATGAGATATTTTATAATGTCCACATCCACATAACTGATCAATCCAAAACTGAAAGTGTATCAAAGGTCAAAACAGATGCAATGGCACTTGAGCTACAACTTACAAGCCTACCATGCACGCACTAAAATGTTTTTACATCAGCTAAACAGTTATGCCACATAAAATGACTGTGTTTTGTAGAACACTTCAACTAAAAGGGCTTTTTGACACACCACTAGTTTATAGTAGCGTTCATTCAATAACTTCACAATGATGGCACTGAAATATTTTGTTTTGTTAATTCTCAGTTTAAAAGCATTTTTAAACAAAAGCAATTAAGAGAGAACTAAGAGTCTGTCAAAGAACAAAGAGTACAAAAAGATAATTTAATAATGGGAATTAACAGGCTTGGGTGTCATTTTCCTTCTTTATGTTATTACCTGCCAGTGAGAAGTTTGATAACTTTGTCATAGAACATTCATTATATTGTGTAGCCATAGAAGTATTTTGCAAAGTGTAACATGGAAGCGAAAGGGAATCTGCCTTTTAAAAAATAAATTTAAAAAATGAAGTATCGTTCACAGTGCATAAATATAAAATGTTGGTGTTTTGTCTTAATATGTTCAATTACTCACCCAAAGGCTTCTCCGCTCTGCAACCAACACATGTTGCCATTATTATTACCCCAAGAGTCTTACTAAACAACCAATACGATAGAATTACCAATTTAATATTAAGATCTGTTTCTGTCCATTAGATATGTATGTTGTTTATTGTTTGACCTCAGCCTATGCAAGTCAATAGGCGAAGATGCTCGAAATGCAGATACAATAAACATGCCCAATTTCATTATACAACTGGTGCAGGAGAGACTTTGGGTTCACAACTCATCATTTTACGTTGCTTTATTGAATAGAGTGTATATCAATAAATAAATGAATTAAAACAGGGAATAAAAAACCCTGTGAGAGACAGGTTCGGGTAAGTAAAACTGACCTTTGCCTGCCCACCACCCCCCCAGCCACTGGACCGCCAGTGGTGATGTCAAATCATGCAAAGTTCCCAGACAGTGACAGTTCCGCTTGAATTGAGAAAAGAAAAATGCAAAATCGAGTAACATTATTTTTGATTCATAGAGGCTAAATTAGAAAAGCAAATAAAGAAGACACATGGAATTTAAGCAAAGCTAAACATTGCAAACTATGAGAGATAACACTTCATGACAATGGATTCCATTCTGAAAACAGAATAGTTACCTGAAATAATCAGAAGATACAAAAATGGTCTACATTTTTAAATGGTTCAGCAGTTATTTGTAAGAATGTTATTTTCCAGTAACATTACATATCTTCTGCATATACTTGGCACATGCAACACTGCAACTTTCTGATTGGCTGCTTCATTTAGATTCACCTTCCAAACCTCTATAACCCTATCCAGAGATTAAAGGTAATTTAAAACTCATGATCATCAGCTTAATCTCATTTTAACAACAGTTTGATATCTACGTTTTTGTAATAGTTTTAAAATCAGGTTTTCAAAATATTCCATTGGTTATTGGATACTATTCTTTATAATTTTATTTTTTTCAGTCATTGTGAAATGTTCTGGGAAATTTAGTCCAACCTAATTTATAGATCTGGTTTGGCAAACCTGCTTAAAATGTGAAAAAAAAGACATATCTAATACACCTTTAAATACAGCGGAAAACTGCTGAACCAATTAAACATGAAAAAACATTTTTAAAAAAACCACAAAACATTTATAGAAACACAGAGTATCTATTTTCTTAGTGTAAAAGGGATTTTTGACAGGTCATCGTTAATTTGCGGTTCATCAGCTCATGTGTTTCAAAACATCACCCATTGTGGCTGGCTATCCACTGCTAAGATAACCGATCAATCAAAGTATTTATATGGTAATGGAAATTCACTAATAAGAGTATAAATAATTCTGTTGCCCCTGTGCATTGACAACATTTTACATGCGGTTTGGAGGAAAAGTATTCTAGGCATTAATGCAGATTCGGGAACAAAGAAATGTTGCAGCTGTGTAAGAGAAACAGACGGTAAATACAAAACCATTTTTTTTTTTTTTTTTTTTTTTAAATAGATCTTGGTAAATCAAACATGTACTATAATTTGTCATATTGAATAATGCATAGGTATCTAAAATATATAACTAAATTTGTGTTTGAGAACTTTGCAATTGGCCAGTAAAATGATCGTTCTCTAGTTGCCAATTTATATGTATTTATTTTAAGGCAAAGACTAGGATAAAATTCTTACAGGACTTCCTGAATGATCTGAGGCGTCTCCTGCACCACTTGCATAAGGAAGTTCTCGCTTTGGGCTACTCAGATGCCGATCAGATTCTTTAAACTGGATAAGCTGCTCATCTAGAGCCTCCTTTAGGAGTTGAAGTCTCTGAGCAAGCCCGGCTTGGACCCCTAACTCTTTTTCCAGCACGAAGACTGCTCTGTCTTTTAATTTTATTTCATCCATCTACAAGGAGAACAAAACATAAATCACTCACATGCAGCATAATATCCTGTGGGTAGTGTTTATTTGGTGGCAACTAATGACTCAATATTTTGATCATTTTTTTATTTTATTTTAATAAAAGGTCAAATATGAATTTTTACTTTACACAGACCGACGCATGATCCTTAAAATAAATTTCATTTAAGATACATTTGCACCCTCTAACCATTCTTGCGTGGCTATGCAATTTATGATTTTATTGTTCCGAATATACTGGAGCATCTGGTAAAGTCCTTAAAGTGGAGCAGTTAACTGGTATATATTATTAGTTTCTATAGTGATTGCTCATCGATTCGTAAGGTATCACAGAAAATGTACGATCTCTTAATAAAACCTTTTAATGTATTCCTACCATATTTAGAACTCCATTACATGAGGCGGTTGGAGTGCCTTAGAACCATATTAGAAGCATAACAGCGCGTAGCATTTGAGCACAACTTCTACAAGTGGAAATAGGATTTATTTTTATTTAGTACATATTGAACGCATGCAATATTTTTAGGCAAAGATGCATTCGTTCTAACGTAACAAGTATAGATGTACATTTTAAAATTCCTTGCAGTAGCAAAATGTCTTGAGACAGAATGTAGAACAGGTTTGCTTTACCATAAAGACAAACCTGACTGAGCAACCATGTTGGAACAGACTCTATTGTTATCTTGCCAAACTACTGATCAATCAAACTTTACTATATGCACAACCATAAACGTGCCTCTTCTTCCCCTTACTCCCAACTTAGAAGACATCGTTTTCCACACCACATATACTACAGTACAAGTCATGACTCATGTTTTAGATTAATTAAACTTGCTACACATGCCTATAAAGCACTGCCTATAAGATAAGATCAGATGTTCTATAGAAAGTAAAGTGAGCATCATAACACGAGATAGGTAATTAGGTCTCTTTAATACATTTAATAACAGCCAGGAAGTGTGAGAGGGTTCTGGCTTAACCTGCATAAATACGTCACTTCCATTGTTAATAATTGTGCACATTGTATGCCGGAAAAAAAAACCCATTTATAATTCTACTCCAGTCTGTTGGGTTAGTGCTGCCCTGCTTTTTTTCTGATTTCCTCCTGTAGTGGCAGTTCTTTGTCTACACCAGTGGTAGTCAACCTTTTTCTACCTACCGCCCACTAATGCATCTTTCTTGATGGAAAAATTTCCTTACCGCCCACCAGTTTTCACGCAAGCGCGGAATATTGTTTAGAAAGGAGGGTGTTTTTAAAAAAAAATAAATGTACATACATTTATCTTTTTATTTCTACTTTATGCATGTTTATAATGTTTTTAACTTTATAAAGTTTAATTAGAAAACAATAAAGTAAATTGAAAGCTTTACTAGTGAGATCCTTGAGGCTGGTGCTGCGAGACTAAATATTTGATATCTGGTTTGATTTTCGTAAGGAACAAACAAAGGTCTCCTCTTATGGTGATATTCAGACGGTTTCTCTGTTTGCTCATAATATGATTAACAGCACTAAAGCCTGATTCTACAAGATATGTGGTAGGGAAAGGTATCAATAAATTGAACATCATTTCCCACATATTTGGATATAACGCAGGCTTTTTTTTTGCTAGAGTTTTTGGCATCCACCACGGCCAAAATTACAAAAGTAATTACTACTTTTACTCTTACGTTTTGATCTGCACTCCACACAGTGCTTTTTTCCCTCCTCTTTTCCCTTTTATTACTAACACCAAAAACAATGCTGTACTAGGTGCCAATTTTTATTAAATGTCACCATCAAAAGAAATTCCTTTTCCTGCCTGCTTCTTTACCTTCCTTATAGTATATCACTATATCAAGGATGTCTTTTTCCTTTTTTTTATTTTCTCCTTCCCTTATTTTTTTCTTTTATTTTATAAGATAACAAAAAACTTAATTTATGAGCCAGACTAAACACTGCTTACTCTCCTCTATTTTATCCCCTTTTCTCTATTTTTTCTTCCTTTTTTGTTATTTTTTTTTAATCTTTTCCTTTTTATCTCCTTTCTTTTAGCTTCCTCAGGTACAAAAGTAAGGCTGAGCTAGTTAGTCAACCTATTATTATTAGCCAACAATTCTCTTTCTCCTGCCTATAACTTTTCTTTTGCAACTGCTCTGCTTCGTTTCTGCCTGTCCCTGCTATCAGTTTCCACTCCTCCCCTTCCTCTTCCCACGTGTTTGCGTGCGCTCGCTCCCGCCCGACCCCTTCTCGCACAAAAGGAGGTTGATTGATGTGTGCGCTCGCGCCTGCCTGCGCTGCCCGCCCACTCGCTCAAAAGGAGGTTTTAACTTCCGAAAATCCTACCGCACGCATTCTCGTGCACGTTGGTTTCTTGATGTGTGTGCTCGCACGCTCGCACTCGTTCGCTCAAAAGGAGGTTTTAACCTCCAAAGTCCCTACCGCCCACCTTGAATCCCGAAATGCCCACTAGTGGGCGGTAGGGACCAGGTTGACGACCCACGGTCTACACCCATCAGGAACAAGTTAACTGGTACTATACCAATATTAATGCATAACTCCACCTTTGAGTAGAACACTTGGTCAATGTTTTCCCCTTTGTTTATTATCCATTAAAACCCAAGAGGCAACTATGCAGGTGCAGTGAGTAGGAATGAGACTTAAATTCAATTTTTCAAAGATTTTTTTTATTGAATAAAGTAGCCTACAATACACACAATAATAGTATGCTAACAGAGGTATGAAATCATAATTAAAAGCAATTCATTGTTAGAGCAGTAATGGGGCACTAAAACAAACTGTGTTACAACAATTAGTGAGATAGAATAAAAAACACAAATCAATTGTGAAGGTCAATAAAACAAATATGTCAGTAGATTGTTTTCAACTATATCATTACCAAATGTCATTGGAGAACCGTTGAGTTATTTGGGAACTAGAAGCCAATATTTAGACCAGACATCAAGTTAGGCCAATAAACAGTGCATTTACACCATTAAATATACCTGTTTAGAGTATTGTGATAAAGTCACACATTAAATAATTGTTTAGGTTGAAAAAAGACTAACGTACATTACGCTCAACCCTGAAGCTCATTCCTTTTACGTTGTTGATCCAAAAGAAGGGGGAAAAACAATTGTAGTCATTTCCAATTATGCCACAAAAAAAAAAAAAAAAAATAAAAAAAAGCCTTCTTGATTCCATAATGGCAATCAGATTTCTCTTTGGATCAACAATCTGTTTACATACTTATCAGTTATATCCATGAATATTCTTTTTACGCAAAAAAAACATGCAAAACCTTTTTTTAAATTATCTATAGAATCGGATAAGACAACCACTTTCGGCAGAGAATTCCACATCTTTATTGTCTACATTGTAAAGAACCCTTTCCTCTTCTGTAAGTAAAAACATCTTTCTTTGAACCCCATATAATGTATATATGGCTGGTGGGTTCCTTATTCCAAAATGCATGAATTTACATTTATCACATAACCAGTCTATATATGGGTTAATGTCAATCAGTGGAAGCATGCCCATAGGGGAAGGCCTGCATGATGAACAGGCAGCCTGGTGAACATTCACAAATGGCTGATGTGCCATTAACTCCCATTTAAGGGTGGATCTAGCAATGCAATCGTGCCACTGGACCTCACCCTTCACCTCCCTTCTAATTGCATCCTGATTTGCAGGATGCCGGAGTTGGAAGGTATGCACTCATGCTGTGGCTAGTTGAAAAGTTGTGCAGATTCAAACTGCACGACTTGGGCTGTGACTCTGAGGACTGATACGGTTTCTGATTTCAGTCTGTTTTAATTTGCTATGATTGTTGCTTCTGTTAAACATGTCAGCTACTTCTTGGCTCCATACTACCACTGTAGATTAATTATATTTCCAGTTGCAAAGGTAAAAATTAGTCAATCAGTATCCTGCTGCTTTAACCCTGTGTGCACTATATGCAGAGGGGTAATATGAGTCAGGAGTAGCTGACATGGCTGGAGTCTATCAGTATCTTGATGCTTTAACCATGTGCACACTGTGTTCTAAGAGCTAATGGAGTAGCTGACATATTTCATAACAGCAGCAATATTTAATAGAAAGTTAAAGTTATATCAGGAGCACTACCGAATATGAGATCATGTAAGTGAGAGCTAGGAAGATACATAGAGAGAGATATTAGGAGCATCATACAGAGGCATGTACTGTGTATATCTGTATTAGAGCTCTGTGTAATCCATAACAGAGATCCTGGCTGTGTGGGATAATTAGGAGTATCACCTTATTGAATTCAGCACAGTTGAGAGAAAGCTCTGTGGTAGAGTCAAATATTCACTTCCTTCCAGAATACGGGAAGGTCCTCAGAAGTTCCAATGTCCAATAGGAGGGCATTCTGAAACCATTGTGGATTGACCTCTTCTTTTTGTAGAGGAGAATGGCTTCACAGTTATACGTGCTGCAGTTAAAGACCAAAGAAACCTGGAAGAACATTAATAAACGTACATATCTTGAAGGTTTTCTAGCCCATAGAGATGGATTGGTGGGGTGCTCTGCAACTGTTACAAACTTCTTTTGACAGCACAGAACAGCAAAAGGTAGTGGAAAAATGACAATGCAAAGAAAAAAAAATGACAATATGACTTTTTTGTTAAGAATTAAAACATCACTTAATCCCTATGTATATGGATGCATAAGTTTATTTGCAAGGCGCAGTAAACATTATACATTCACACAGCATGATATCGTTCTTCATAAACATTGAGGCTCTAAATAATATAAAATAGTATGAGCACAAATAATCAAACACCCTGAGACACCGGGCAGATACTAAATAAATATATAACACTATATTGTCGATTATTGTCAAAACAGTAAAATAGGGAATGTGTTTAGCAATCACATACATCAGTATTTTACCAATTTTACCAACACTTTTTTTTATAAGACCACAGTATAGTCCCACAAGCCAAAGACTAAGAACTTTTTCAGGGCAGCCATAGGTCAGTCTGGCTCAGTTGAAATTCAGTAACAAAAAAATTGATTCAGGAAGCGAGCAGACTAACCTAAAGGGTAAAAAATTACCCAGTAAGTGCACTGCAAAATATATACATAATATTTTTACTGCTCCTCTTTTTTCCCCCATATGTTTCGTACTTTCCACTTGATCTGGGAATAAAATCAACATATAGTGGCTGTCCCCTGGCCATCAATAATATTTTTTTCCCCATCAATCATCTTTTTTTTGGCACCAAATGCTGTATCCAGACTCCTAGATCAATATGGCTTGCTTGGCCATTGCGTTTCTCTTTTGGTTTGTGATTTGTCTACATGTCAGTTTGGAAATTCGAACAATCACCCAATTGGCCTAAATTTGGACAAACTGCAGTTCGGAATGAAATGAATTTCCAAGACTAACAGCTTTCAAATTGCTCTTTTTTCTGCAGATTGAAGGTACACTATAAATTCCTCAGGAGTTCCACCACGGGAATCACAACTGGCTATATAATATATTTATAGTGGATAAAAATACAAAACTTTAAATGTCATGAATTTTCTGTCTGCAGCCATGTCAAAATGAAACCATGTTAAATAGGGACCAGGTGTAAACAAACAGACACTTAAGTTCCCAATACAAAAGTGACAATTCCTCACGGTTACAGTGACTCTAGGTTTTGCATATGAATAACTTCGTGCTAAACAAACAATTCTACTTATCAAAAAAAAACAGATAAATAGATAGATGTACTTAACTTAGTACAACAAAAGGATAGCTTCCCTGAAGGCTTTTCCCTCTAGAGCCTCCGTTGAATCGAATGGATATGGATAACAATAGGGATACAGCTAGAGGTTATAAAATAAGAAAAAACAGCACAACGCTGACACACAAGATCATAAGTAGCACTCACAGAGTTGAAATCAAATGGAGGCCTTGAAATCCATAAATGGATTATACTGGTCTGCCTTCCACCATTCAGGGTAATACAGCAGGTCCAGGAATATCAGGTAGCAGAATCAGGATGCAAATAAAAAAATTCCGCTTGTAGAGCAAAGTATAAATTTATTGAGGCAACAAACTGCCTAATAAAAATTAATGACTAAAACATATAAAATGGATCTAACGCGTTTCATCCAACGCAGTGGACTTCAGAGATAAAATAAACTGAACAGCAATAAAAAGACTGCACAGCAATACACAAATAAAAACCATAACTGATCCCACCCCCCAACACCCTTTGAATACAACCATTAGACAATCTTAATTAGAATGCAATCCAGATGTGATCCAAGCTTCTGAGAGGTTCTATTGGTCGGTGGAGAAGTGAAGGATTCCCATAGGTCTTCAGTATACCCTCCAACAGCTGTTTCCACTTGCCACTATCAAATTTTCGCGGTCGTAATCAATACTTCCGGTTTGCATTTCACCGGCTTGTGTATGCGTTCCACGCGTACTTCCGCTTCCGGTTTGATCGTCCGAACGCTAAATGTGTTCCACCATAAACTGAGATGCGTTCCACAGTGGAAACTATGATTGTAATGGCAGAAACTTCATAAGACAATCTTATAATAAAGGAAATCGAAAGTTAAACGTTTATACAATATGTACAGCTAGTTACTCCCTCAATATGTCAAAAGAAGGGGGAGGGGATTTCATCTCTCACCATACTGTTGCAAAGGATAAAAGTACCCTAAACAAAAAAATATATGAGTTAAAAAACAATATTAAAGATATGTAGTAAGGACCAAAGCTGCTGGTCCCACTAAAGGACTGCAAAGAAAAATAAAATAAAGTAAATGAAAAATAAATAAAAAAAAATTAAAAATAAAATATAAATAAAAATAAATATAAATAAAAAAAATAATAATAAATAAAAAATAAAAATGGAAAATAGGCTAGTGCCACATATATGTCTGGGAAAAAACACCTAATATGGCTAATAAAGGATGCCAATTCATCCAATATGATGGCAGTGGAATCTTGGTATAAGATATGTGAACACACCCAAAAAATGAAAAATAATAATGAAAAACGTAAAATATAATAAAAACAAGAGTAATACAAAAAATGAGGTATAAAATGACCAATGATGAATTATTGAGATCTTTATGAGCACTCTTGGTCCTCAAATAAATGAAGTTACTCAGTACATATCCAAATGGAAAAAAGACAAATTCTAAAAAATAATACATTCTAAAAAAAGAATAATGATCTATAATGGTGAGAGATGCAAATCCCCTTTATAAATGTATATACATATCAGAAGAAAAGGTGTATATATCAAAAAAAATTATTGTATAGTGGGTCCTAATCATAGGCATATAATCAAGAACATACAAGTAGAGATACAAAAAGAAGCAAGAACTGGGAATGTGAGTGATACTAAATCATGAAACAAGCTAAATCAATATCCACATTCAACCCTTTGGGTTCTAGGGAGTCTAGTAGATGTATCCAATAGGTTTCCCTTTGGGATAATCTTAAATCTCTGTCTCCTCCCCTCCAGTGTGTGGATACTTGTTCGATTCCCATTCCTCTAAAATTACTCCAATTGAACAGGGGACACGAATTACAATGGACTGGGACAGAATGGGTCGTCATACCCTTTCTAATGTTGTTAATATGTTCCATTAGATGGACCTTGAGTGATCTTTTGGTTTTCCCCACATATTGTTTGCCACACGGACATTGTAAGAGATATACAACATAGTCCGTGTGACGGCCAATACTGGATTTAATAGAGAAGCTCGCTTGACTAACATGACTCATAAAGTTGGAAGTTCTTCCCAAATTCATCCTAGATCATGCTTTACACATGGAGCACCCTTTAAACCCCTTATGAGCCTGTGAAACATCCTTTTTTCTAGTGTCCTTCTTAGGATAACTAGGTGCTACAAGGCTTTTAAAATTCTGACTTTTCCTATAAATGATAGGTGGTCGACTTGGTAAAATACTACCCATAACAGGGTCTTGTAACAATATCGGCCAGAATTTGTTTAAGCATTTCTTGATTCTCCAATGGTCTGTGTTATACCTTGTAATGAATGAATATTTGAATCCTTCGCCATGTGATACTTTTGGCCAGTCCACTAATAAATCATTTCTATCCTTTTGTGACATGACCCTGATTTCTCTTTCAATTGTGTTTTCATCATACCCTTTTTTTATAAATTTTTTACCTACATGTCCTGCTTGTGTTTTAAAATCCTGTACATTAGAGCAATTACGTCTCACTCGTGTAAATTGGCTTCTTGCAATACCTTTAAGCCTTGGTTTATGGTGACAGCTTTTGTTATGTACGGAACTTTTTCCGTCAGTTTTTAAAAAAAAGCATTTGGATTTCACTTTGTCACCCTCATGAAACAAGAGAAGATCTAGAAAATTAATTCAGTGTTTATTCCACTCCGGCGTGAATTTAAGATTAAATACATTTAAATTAAAATATCCCACAAAAGAATTAAAAGACTCATGAGAACCCTTCCAGATGATGATCACTTCATCGATATATCTCCACCATAGGACCAGACTCGCCCTCCAGTCATGCCCGTACCACATAAAGGGGGGCCTTCCCACCTCCTCATGTATATGTTGGCATAACTGGGGGCAAACCTGGTTCCCATGGTAGTACCTGTTACTTGGAGGTAAAATTGCCCCTCATAGAAAAAATAGTTATGTTCCAAAATGAATTTTATGGCAACTAAAATCAAATTCTTAAGAGATGGATGAACTTCTGGGTCCTTGTCAATAAAGAACTCCACTGCCTTTATGCCTAAATGGTGATGGATCACCCTATATAAAGATGTGACATACAAAGTTGCCCAACTGAAATCATTTCTCCACTCAATATTGTCTAATTCCTGCAGCATGGCCTTAGTGTCTCTAATGTAAGAGGGTGCGTTTTAGGCATACTTCTGTAGGTTAGAATCTAAAAAGGCTGATAAATTGGCTGTTACAGAATTGATGCCAAAAAATACAAAATGGGTACAATCGGGTGGCTATTAAATAAAAAAATAAAAAAGTTTTTTTCAGTAATGATTTCCTCCTCCAATGCTTTCAACAATACATCTCTTAATTCTAAGTTGAATGATCTCGTAGGGTCTTGTGACAGAGTGATAAAGTATCTGACTTTCCCAAAATGTTTAGTGATTCTTGATGATAAAATTCAGAGGTCGTGATGACAATTCCCCCTCCCTTATCTGCCTCTTATTACAATGTCATCTCTCCTACTTAAATTTCTTAGACAGAGGGCTTCCTCCTTAGTTAAATTATGTTGTTGCAATGGTCTCTTATTGATCTTTTTAAACTCCTCATTAACCATTTTCTCAAATGTCTCTAGATACTTTGTACTGGGTAAAACTTTGATTTGGGTTTGAATGATTCAAATTTGTTAATTGATGAAAGTGATTCACCCCCTGGTCTTCAGGGAAGGGAATGGCTTTTTGGACAATAGGATACTTACAAAAATATCTTTGGACCGTTGGTGATCTCACATATTTTTTTAGGTCAATAAAGAGGGTAAAAGTATCTGCTCTTTGGGCCGGGGCAAATTTCAATCCCCTTTCTAATATCTGAATCTCCATTTGGGTTAAAGGTGTATGAGTTAAATTGAAAATACCCCTATCACGTTCATCTAATTGAAAGGTCTTTACCCCCTGTGGGGACTGATCTCCTCCTCCTCTGTTCTGGATCTTTTTAGGGGAGATTTGGTCACTAGCTGGGAGAAACAATTGGAAAATTCCTGGTTGGTTCTCCTGGGTAAAAAATAATTGGTTATCCTGGGCTCTTTGTGAGTCTGGCCTCTGTCTAAAAAATGCCTATTCTTAGCAGGAGACATATTGTTCTGAAATGAGGGTCGACTATATTGTTTTTTATCCCATATTTTTTTTTGTTTAGGGTACTTTTATCCTTTGCAACAGTATGGTGAGAGATGATTTACCCCCCGCCCTTCTTTTGACATATTGAGGGAGTAACTAGTTGTACATATTGTATAAACGTTTAACTTTCGATTTCCTTTATTAAAAAATTGTCTTATGAAGTTGCTGCCATTACAATCATAGTTTCCACTGTGGAATGCATCTCAGTTTATGGTGGAATGCATTTAGCATTCGGACGATCAAACCGGAAGCGGAAGTACGCGTGGAACGCATACACAAGCTGGTGGAACACAAACCGGAAGTATTGATTTCGACCGCGAAAATTTCATAGTGGCAAGTGGAAACAGCTGATGGAGGGTATACTGAAGACCTATGGGAATCCTTCACCTCTCCACCGACCAATAGAACCTCTCAGGAGCTTGGATCACATCTGGATTGCATTCTAATTAAGATTGTTTAATGGTATTATTTAAAGGGTGTTGGGGGGGTGGGATCAGGTATGTTTTTTATTTGTGTATTGCTGTGCAGTCTTTTTATTGCTGTTCAGTTTATGTTATTTTATCTCTGATGAAGTCCAACGAGTTAGATGCATTTTATTCATTAATTTTTATTAGGCAGTTTGTTGCCTCAATAAATTTATACTTTGCTCTACAAGCTTATTTTTTTTATTTGCATCCTGATTCTGCTACCTGATATTCCTGGACCTGCTGTATTACCCTGAATGGTGGAAGGCAGACCAGTATAATCCATTTATGGATTTCAAGGCATCCATTTGCTTTCAGCTCTGTGAGTGCTACTTATGATCTTGCGTGTCAGCGTTGTATGCTGTACATCACTATGTGCTGCTTTTTCTTATTTTATAACTTTGTGCTAAGGCTGATGTGACGAAAGCACCTTCATCACTGGGATTTGGAGAGGCCTGCTTGGCAGCCTCTTACCCTGTGACTATGGTCTCTGGGATGTATTGCCCCTTTAAAAGCTTTATTTGGGCATATTGGATTTTAAAACACTTTTTCTGCCCCTTTAATACCATGGGAAAATGTGCCTCTTCACCTACCCCTTTTTCTTGTCTATTGTTTCTCCAGCAGGGCATTGTCCCAGGGACACTGCCAGACCAGTATAAACTGGTTGCTTTGTCCCTCCTCAATCTCCCATCAGCCCTTGCTATTTTCTGACCCCTTCCCTGTACTATAGGGCACTTTTAACATTGGACATATTGAGCGCTCAGATCCAAGCTATATTGGACATATAGGTTAGACGTATTATAAGACTTATGTATTTTTATGTGGTTTTTGTGGCGGTTTCTGACTTAGAGATATTTCCTGTACCTGGAGATAATTGGCTTACCACAGCCACTTAAGCCATTTGTCTCCAGGATAGAGGAGAAGCTAGACCAGCCACACAGTCTTAGTCTGTGGAACTATTTTGGGCATGAAAGCCATGATTGCGGTCGGTCAGATGTGACTTCCATAAAACTTTTGAACCCCTTCTCTGATCTGGGTGATTTTTGGATATGTTGTTCACCCAGATCAGGGCTATCCAGGGATGTAGGATTTATAGGGATAAGTTTGTGTTTTGGGGTGTTTCTGGACTTTGGGTAAACATTTATATTTTCTGCCTGTAGTACTTGAGTTAGTCCATTGTGTTTGGTAATTGTATCACAGGCAGAGGGGAGGGTTTGTGTACATTAGCTGGGAGTATTTAACTGTACAATACTGTGTTGATTGGTTTGTGTCTTGTGCTCCACAAGGTCCACGTGGGTGGTAGCCTTGTGGGGGAAAATGTGTATTAAAAAAATGCCTTTGTGCTCATTAACACCTTAAGGACCAAACTTCTGGAATAAAAGGGAATCATGACATGTCACATATGTCATGTGTCCTTAAGGGGTAAAGAGACCAGTTCTACCCTTCATGAAGTCTTGGCTCATGTTTGGGGGATTGCTATAATCACTATACTCCCCAGAGTATAATCACTAGCTCTTGTAAGAGCGGTTCTTGTTTCTGTTCCTGCTCTCTGGATTCTAAGAGAGGCCTACCTACTGGAAGGGGGTCCTGGTCCTGGGTCCAGAGTGGGTGGAAGACAGCAAGACCCCAACCAAGCTGCGGCGGTTCGTGGGGTCTGGAGTGGTTATGGTGTCTTGTGGAGTGCTTGGAGCTCTTGGAAAGCAGTAGAAGCATCCGTCAAAAGGAAGGTACCCAGTCGGGGTGCCAGGCGTTCCGTTACAGCTGACATTTGTTTTTTTTTGTTTTTTTTTATAGACCGCTAAATTACATTAATCTCCACTGGCACCTCTAACCGGTCTCAATAGTTACATATTGTCTGTCACTCTGAGAAAGCAGAGATAGCCACTATAATAAAACATTGGGTGAGCAAAGTAGAGTTATTTGTAAAGCGTAATAGACTATGATGTTTTTATGACATCAATAGCGGTGTATATTTCTTTAAAATTCACACAAAATGCACATGTAGCGGTGTATATGTCTTTAAAATTCACACAAAATGCACATGTAAAAAAAAAAAATCTAATAATAATAATAATAATAATAATAGGATGTAACAATGAAACGCAAGTTGGAAGGTTGATGCGGCTTAAAGAAACAGGTGATGCCACTCTCTAGATCAGGGGTGCCCAAAAGGTAGATCCCCCTGTTGTTCTAAAACTACAACTTTCATTATCTTTGTCATTCTAAAAACATTTTAAAGGCATGCAAAGCATCATGGGAGTTGTAGTTCACCTATGGGAGTTGTAGTTCACCTACCTTTTGGGCACCCCTGCTCTAGATGGTTTGGAGGATTTTCATTATAAGCAAGAATATCTAAGAATATATTAAGAATATCAATACAATGTTCCTACTCACATATATGGGTAAGAACTGATTTTCACCTGCGATAATACACTATTCCCTTGCTAGATCATCAATTTTTAAATGTGCATTCGGATGGAATTTTAAAGAAATATACACCTCTACTGAGGGTATAAAAACATCATTGTCTATTACTCTTCACAAAAAGTGCTCCACTTTGCACACAGAATTTTATCTACTGGCCTTGTACCACTGGTTTGGTTTCGTTGATTTTCTGGTTGGGTGATACGTAATAGTGTGCAGCAGCTACAGCTATATATGAAATAAGGCAGAGTTGGCTTTTTTATTAACAATGAAACATTGAGCATAAATAATTATGCTTGTCAACTGAAAATAATAAAATGATTTTAGGATACATTAAGATAAAGTATTGTGGCCAGGTTATAAATCAAAACAACTTCAAAGGGGCTAATGAGCTAAAATATAGATTTTCAAAAGCTTCCCCTCACTGCTGGTGGATCAACAGGATTGATTCATTACGGGGACCTGGTTGTGCAGGGTCCACTTAATCAGCTGCCTTAGGAAGCGGTCTCAGCTGCCAAGAAAATAAACTTATAAGGCGCCTTGATGTCTTAATATGTCACCAGAGCACTGGGAAGTATGGAGATTAGGCATAAAACATATGGTGGTGACAAGAGAGCCAATCGAAGAATTTCTATGAGATGCCATAAAACGAGATTAATCGTCTGCTCTGTCACACCTACGAATCACATTTAGGTGGAGCGCACAATCATTTATATAAACAGTTTCACAAGCTGAAAAATAAAATAAATAAATTATTTTATATTCACACACACACATATCTATACACACTCATGTACATCACCTGTATACCTCAAGTTGGACTTTAAAAAAAGTCTTCCTTAGGAACAGAAACTCAAAAAATAAAGTTTCGACAACTATCCCAGAGTTGCGTGACATGCAAAAGAGCACAGACAGGCTTCGCGCTATACCTGCACTCCGCAGATACCCTTAACAATGCAGTATGAAGTCTGAAACTCTGTGCCTGTCTGTGCTCATTTACGTGTCAATGAGGACCGCTTTTATAGTCTGACTTGAAATATCCAATTGAACAATGGTAATATTTCTAATTGAAGAGTAGGGAGTTTTATCGTGTTTGTGCTAAGCCCACCACTATGCCACAGTACCCCAATATCGGTGGGTCCTACACTAATTTTAACATGGGAAATATTATGATATACATTATGAGAATAACCATCCAAGGGCTATCACTTTAATTGTTTAGTGTGGACACAGTAATTTTTTGAATTGTGTGTTAGTACAATACATTTTCCTTACATATATTAACAATGCTTTTACAACAGATTAACTCCTTAAGGACGGCGGGCGTGCTATGCCGTCCTTGGGGACCTGGCTCTAAACGTCGGCGGAAGGCATAGTACGTTCCCGCCATTGAGGGGACTTACCCGCTCGCTAGTGATCGCGATGGGGTCTTGCCTAGAATCCCAGGTAGTCCCCCTTCCTGCCAATCCGGCCCTCCTGGGCCATGTGATTGTGAGGTCCTTGCAAGGACATCACAATCACATGGACGGAATAGCCGTCCATAGCAGTGGCAGCGGGGGAGTGCCTGGAATGACAGGTAGTCCCCCTGCTGCCTATAATAAAATAAAACAATGTAAAATAAAACATATACTTAGATCATATAGATTATATATATATATATATATATATATATATATAATCTAAGTATTTATTAAAATACACATACACTAACTATTTTAATAATATATATTAATATCAAAATACACATAGAATGATTAAATATATATATATATATAAAATATATAACTATACGTTAAAAAAATAGGCTTAATTTCGTTCTAACTGTATTTTAATATTAATATATATAGATATCAAAATAAACTTAGAAAGAAATATATATATATATATATATATATATATATATTTTAATTCTACGTATATATTTATATAATAATTTTACATAATTAAGTCATTTTATTAATTACAATTTGCGGGACCTGCCTGATAACCCAGGCAGAAAGTCCAGAGAATTAAATTTTCTAGCACTATATTTAACCCTGTAGCGTTCCAAGACACCATAAAACCTGTACATGGGGTGTACTGTTTTACTCGGGAAACTTCGCTGAACACAAATATTAGTGTTTCAAAACAGTAAAATGTATCACAACGATGATATCATTAGTGAAACTGACATTTTTTGCATTTTTCACACACAAACGGCACTTACACTGATATAATTGTTGTGATATGTTTTACAGTTTTTAAACACTAATATTTCTGTTCAGCGAAGTCTCCTGAGTATAACAGTACCCCTCATGTACAGGTTTTATGGAGTTTTCAAAAGATAGAGAGTCAAATATAAGGCTTGTGTTTCAGTTTTTTCAAAGGCAACGTAACCAATCTGGCGAATTTTAATGTGAAAAAACTGAAAAATGTAACATGCTATATTGGACCCTGTAACTTCCCAAAACACCATAAAGCCTGTACATAGGGGGTACGGTTTTACATGTGAGACATCACTGAATACAAATATGTGTATTTTATTGCAGTAAAAGCAAACAGTATTAGAAAAATTCACAGTTAAAATGTCATGCAGAACTAAAAAAAAATTTAAAAAAAAAATCTTAATTTCTCACATTCTTTTATATTTTATTCATATTTAATTATGTTTCATAGCTAAACATTTGGTGTTAAATAAAAGCACTATTTCTCCTGAATAAAATGACATATAATAAGCGTGGGGGCACTTAATATGAAAGAGGTGAATTACGGTTAGACATATAGTCAAATTCCAGGTTTTGTTTACGTTTCATGTTGATCAAAACGTGCACATTTGGCTCAGTCCTTAAGGGATTAAATACACGTTAGTTCATTTAGCACTAGCATTATTTAATGTCTCCCGTGTTAAAATTAGTGTAGGACCCACCGATATTGGGGTACTGTGGCGTAGTGTTGGGCTTAACACAATATGGCAGTGTGATGGAACTGAAACCCAAAATGTGTTTGTTTGCTAAGATAGGTGATTTTAAGTAGAATTAGTAAAATTAGGAAAAGTAAAATTTTAAAACTGTAGTTGTGTGTGCGCTATTCCTTAATCCTTATTTTGTATAAATTTTGGTCTCGGTGGCAGCAACATGTTGCTGAGAAATGCATGTTCTGGATGTGCCCTCAATTACTTCTTTGAATAGATGGATATGAGCGGAGAGGTTCTCCTGTCAACTCCATTCAGCAGACTGTAGTGGATAGGGAGCTTGGAGTGTTCTTTTAAGAGTTTGAGATAAAAGTAAGAGTGGTAGTAATTTTCAAGAAGGAATGAAACCATGTGGGGTTTTTTTTTTGGTTTTCTTGTTGATGACAGTCAGTGAGTAATATTTTATAGACCGCTGAAAAATGGTTACAAAGTTAACAGAGAAAACTAGCTGGCTTCGCCACAATATTTTATCTATACTTTCAAGACAGAGTTTACGACGACATCTATTCTTCTATAATGGTCAGTGCTAATGTTGCTAACACACCGGAAATTCACTAAAATAACTGGCTGTTATAGCATTAAGCATGCATTGAAATATAATGATGTAATGCATTCTCATCTGCCCTAATGGATCTTACACACTTATAAATATACTGTTTTAATGCATTTTTAATCTCCTGGTTGTAATGGAGATCACACACTTGTAGAATAATAGTGTACAATAGAATGTTCCATATAAATCATATAACACACGGGTGTATGTTAATATATTCAGTGGACATATGGCTTTATACAGGGAGTGCAGAATTATTAGGCAAGTTGTATTTTTGAGGATTAATTTTATTATTGAACAACAACCATGTTCTCAATAAACCCAAAAAACTCATTAATATCAAAGCTGAATATTTTTGGAAGTAGTTTTTAGTTTGTTTTTAGTTATAGCTATTGTTAGGGGGATATCTGTGTGTGCAGGTGACTATTACTGTGCATAATTATTAGGCAACTTAACAAAAAACAAATATATACCCATTTCAATTATTTATTATTACCAGTGAAACCAATATAACATCTCAGCATTCACAAATATACATTTCTGACATTCAAAAACAAAACAAAAACAAATCAGTGACCAATATAGCCACCTTTCTTTGCAAGGACACTCAAAAGCCTGCCATCCATGGATTCTGTCAGTGTTTTGATCTGTTCACCATCAACATTGCGTGCAGCAGCAACCACAGCCTCCCAGACACTGTTCAGAGAGGTGTACTGTTTTCCCTCCTTGTAAATCTCACATTTGATGATGGACCACAGGTTCTCAATGGGGTTCAGATCAGGTGAACAAGGAGGCCATGTCATTAGATTTTCTTCTTTTATACCCTTTCTTGCCAGCCACGCTGTGGAGTACTTGGACGCGTGTGATGGAGCATTGTCCTGCATGAAAATCATGTTTTTCTTGAAGGATGCAGACTTCTTCCTGTACCACTGCTTGAAGAAGGTGTCTTCCAGGAACTGGCAGTAGGACTGGGAGTTGAGCTTGACTCCATCCTCAACCCGAAAAGGCCCCACAAGCTCATCTTTGATGATACCAGCCCAAACCAGTACTCCACCTCCACCTTGCTGGCGTCTGAGTCGGACTGGAGCTCTCTGCCCTTTACCAATCCAGCCACGGGCCCATCCATCTGGCCCATCAAGACTCACTCTCATTTCATCAGTCCATAAAACCTTAGAAAAATCAGTCTTGAGATATTTCTTGGCCCAGTCTTGACGTTTCAGCTTGTGTGTCTTGTTCAGTGGTGGTCGTCTTTCAGCCTTTCTTACCTTGGCCATGTCTCTGAGTATTGCACACCTTGTGCTTTTGGGCACTCAGTGATGTTGCAGCTCTGAAATATGGCCAAACTGGTGGCAAGTGGCATCGTGGCAGCTGCACGCTTGACTTTTCTCAGTTCATGGGCAGTTATTTTGCGCCTTGGTTTTTCCACACGCTTCTTGCGACCCTGTTGACTATTTTGAATGAAACGCTTGATTGTTCGATGATCACGCTTCAGAAGCTTTGCAATTTTAAGAGTGCTGCATCCCTCTGCAAGATATCTCACTATTTTTGACTTTTCTGAGCCTGTCAAGTCCTTCTTTTGACCCATTTTGCCAAAGGAAAGGAAGTTGCCTAATAATTATGCACACCTGATATAGGGTGTTGATGTCATTAGACCACACCCCTTCTCATTACAGAGATGCACATCACCTAATATGCTTAATTGGTAGTAGGCTTTCGAGCCTATACAGCTTGGAGTAAGACAACATGCATAAAGAGGATGATGTGGTCAAAATACTCATTTGCCTAATAATTCTGTACTCCCTGTATATATATATATATATATATATATATATTAATTTAATATGGAAAGGGTAAAAACATGTATTGTGTTGAGCTATGATTCATTTAACTTCTTAACAAATTGCAAATAATTTATACAAAACAGCAAAATTGTTGCAAATTTTATTAAAAAGCTTCACATTTTTACTATACACTTTTAAGAATTGGTTTACAAGATTCAAAACATTATAGAGTCATCTAATGTTGAAACTTCCTTTATTGTACACTCTAATTTAGATTTTTTAAAATCTTTTTTATCTCCTTTGTGTGATTAGAGGTCAATTTAGAGAGTAGTCAATAAAACCAGGGGAGGTGTGGATACAGCTGCATGGATAGAAACAAAACTGATGTTTTGTTGACTCCTGTAGTATCCCTTCAATAGAATTGAGTAAATGCATATTCCCAAGCAGAAGGAATTGTTCGTAAAAAACCCCAAATTATTCCAGAAAAAAAAAAAACATACGCATATACATACACACACATACCATTTACTTAAAGGGACACTCCAGACACCCAGACCACTTCAGCTAATTGAAGTGGTCTGGGTGCTGTGCCCGTATTGCACTTAGTGCTGCAATGTATAACATTGCAGTTACAGAGAACTGCAATGTTTACATTGCAGCTCTAAGTCTGCCCTCTGTGGCTGTCTATCAGACCGCAACTGGGGGCGCTTCCTGATTCATATCGGACTTTTAATCCGTTATCTGATGCTGGACCACCTCACGGACCTCCAGCGTCAGATTTTCCCCATAAAAAAAGCATTGAATAATGCTTTCCGATGTGAAGGTTTAATGCGCATGCGTGGCCATTGCCGCACATGCGCATTAGGTCTCCCCAGCCGGCTGACACAGGTGGGGGGAGGAGCATGGGCGGAGCCTTACCCAGCACCGAGGGACATCGGTGCTGGATTCAGGTGAGTAGCTGAAGGGGTTTTAACTCCTTCAGCGACATTGGATGGGGGCAGTAGGGAGGGGGACACTGCAGGATCCTGCAGTGCCAGGAAAACGGGTTTGTTTCCTGGCACTGGAGAGTCCCTTTAAAATAACAGATTAAGATTTATTAGGATTACATTTTTCCACAAAAGGTAAAATAAAATATATATTTTTTTCTCAATAAATTTACAAATTTCAAAAGTGCAAAACAAGAATATTTTCATACAAAGAATAGGAATAATTTCTCACCCGTCTGCCCTGGATATTCTTTTTTAGATTTTTCCTATGTTCGGAAAGCTGCATCAATATAGAACACAAAGTAAAATTAGTACAGGTTTATTATCCCATTATCTGTAATATATTATTATTTTGACTTTACATTATCTACTTAACTTTGCATGCGTCGCAGCTGGCATTCTGATCCAAGCCATCCATTCCTCTTCTGGGTTAGTATAAAATAAATGACTAATGTCTGAGCAGCACACTGTCAGGGTAAAGGGATAAATCCCAAATCCTGTGTATATTAGAAACATTTTTAAAAGAGTAGATGGAAGTACCATGGATGAGAATGGATGGACATCAAACCATTAAATCACAAATGCAATTAATGATCATGGTCAGACTATTTCTGCTGTGATGCTGCTGATTTAATGGTGTGGAAATGGTACCTATTAAATTATTAAAAAAATAAATAAATAAATAAGATAGTACAGGATTCTATAGCAGTATTAATTTGTGAAGAAAGTTTGGTTTTCATATTTAGACACATGTTGGACATTTATAAAAGTGCTGTGATGTTAGGCTTGGGCATGAAACCAGGCATAGCATGCTGGCGATGGACGTCCAATGGTGGCCAGGTCCTCCTTATGTCCCACAAGCCACCCATCAGCCGTACCTCTGTGGCATCCCTTTCCCTGTGTCAGGGGGAGTGAAATCAAATGGCGAATTAAACTGAAGGGAGAAATGATCTTCTGCTTGAATTATATGTGAGCTTTCCCTTTATTAATGAATTTATTTTTAAGGTGGGGGCGTGACAGCAAGGATTACTCCAACCATAAAACACTGTTGTATTAAAATCCCGGCATGGTCAATGCTTGACTTGACATCATAATATCTTGCAGTAAACAAAGCCTTTAAGAATCACCAAGGGCGCACACAGACCTTTCAATTTAGTGGTCTGGGTGCAGTCGCCCTTTCAATTCAACCCTGAAATGTAAACCTTTGCCATTTAATACGTATGGCAATGCTCACATTGAAGTGTTAAGTACACTTCTAGAGGCCGTTTTCCTGGCAGCCACTAGAAACCCTTCCACCGCGAGCAGTGAGTCTTGATTTTCACAGCTAGCCTCCATTTGATACGAGGAGCACAGCGCTGGCCACGTATGCACTTTTTGTCCTCAATGCTCCTATTTGTGAAGAGGAAGGGTCAGCATGACATCTTAGGAGATGGATCAAGCAGCTGCAAGAATTTGATCTTGGTGTTGGCAAAAAAATAATAAAAAGATAAGTAATATCCCTTCTACCATGTTTTATTTAGATTTAGAGAAGGGCCCTGAAACTAAATGCAAAGAAGAATACTATAGGAGGTTTTTATTCCTAGTGGTACAGTGTTTCTTTAACATCTAAATTTCAAAGCCAGAATTAAAACTTAGAGCTATTGCTGTAAGCAGAATTCATCCATGACTCCATATGGTACTTTTGTAGTGCACAATGAATGACTCTTCATCCTTACATTCTAGAGCACAAACCGCTAAATGTTCTGTATAAACAAAAGAATCACTATTCAATTCATCACTAGGATATTCAATGCATGCTAACAGCCTATTGCCATGCATCCTGCAAGGCAGTAAGTTTTCTGAACATCCAATGCAGATGCGGCACGTCAAATTTACAAGAATACAGAACATTAAAAGAAACCTTACAAATACATGAGAAAATGTGTATGGACAAAAAAATGTTACTGTAAAAATATTTAACTTCTAACCAATACATGATGATAAAAAATCATAGTAATCCCCTGAAATGGTAGTTGTCGTAGTAAGAAAATGGGAGAACATCCGTCAGTGGGTGGAGGTGGATACAGAGTGGGCAAGCAATCTACCAATGGCCCTTAACAAAAACAAGAAATAACGTCCCTTTAATTCCTGGAAACATGGCTGCCAACGGTTTAACAATGAACCTCCTTCAATTATTGAATCCAAAACAATGTATATGTGACACAGAAAAAAGATCATAAACAACAACAAAAAAAATCCTATCAATCTTAAAGAGGATTTATTTTTCATCTGTACCCTGATAGTTATAGGTATATTATGATAGATTTTTCTCATTTTTAAACACTGACTTACTGGTTCCACTTTCTTCGACATCTTTGTCCTTCACAAAACAAACTGCCTCATTTTCTAACAAGATAACAATGTATCAAATAAAAACCACCTCTTTGTGAAAGTAATGCTACTGTCGGACGTTCTGAAGAGTTTAACGATCGTAAGCTCAGTCCAAAACCTAATATGCGATTGCTACGCAATGATTTTTTATGACAGTGAAACTTGTATAAAAATTTTATGGATCCTATTTTGTAAACATAATATTTTGGGTGTGTTCTGTTATTTCCAACTGATATAAATATATATTCATCACACACATACACACACGTAAATGTGAGAGCTAAGCAAAATAGTGCCATTTTCAGCAATGGTGACCTATAAGTTTAATCATAAAAAGCATTAAAGATAACATATTAACATTAAAATGTATACTTATTTGCACATTATTTATTGATATTAGAGTGTTATTTTCTTAGTATACATGTCCCACCCCTTACTCTTTGAATGCAATAGATGGCCAGCGAATCACAGGAGTTGTAGTTCAGCAACATCTGGGTGGCTATGTTTTGAAGCATACTAACCGACAAATGTAAAAAATGGCAGCAGGGGAGTAATAAGGAGGGTGAAGGGGAATGGTCAATCCCAGGTGACAGGTGGGAGGGGGGTGCATACAGTTTACTATTGAAAGCTGCAGTAGGTGCTGATCTATTTTTTCCATCTAGTAAACACACAGTTCCCCCGTCCTGCATGTAATTCTTTGTCGAGTGACCACACTGGGTCTAGCAGGGAGGAAGTAGCCAGTTACCTGCAACTTCAATCACTAGACAGCAGGAAATGCCGTGCCCATAAAGGTAAGAGGGAACTTTGATGAGTGTGTGTGTGTGTGTGTGTGTGTGTGTGTGTGTGTGTGTGTCGATAACTGCTGTATATGTGTGAGGCTGCGTGACTTTGGACGGTGTGTGTGTGACTTTCTAACTGCAACTGTGTATATTATGGTTTGTAATTGTGTATGTGTGTGTCCATGTTTGTATGTAAATGAATGTATGATTGCATGTCCCTTCATATGTATGTAGACAAAAAAGGGATGAAGATTGCAGACAAGAGTTAAGGGGGTGCTTTTTGTATAAAGAGATACACAAAAAGTAATAAGGGTTAAGGGAAGCACAAAAGGGTGAAAAGGGTTAAGAGACACACAAGACTGAAAGAGGGGATTAGGAGAAACACACAAGAAGGGTTCGGAGATATGGGCAAAATGTAAAATTGGGAGGAGAGTGGGAAAATTACCAACATAAATTGTTCTGCATGCCAAGTGACCTAGGTATGATTCTACATTGTAGTTTTTTACAAACCTCAAAGCTTTAATTAGTCAGACTGCAGGGACAAGGTTTACAAACACCAAAACCACTACACTTGGTGCTAAGAGAGTCCCCCCTAAAGACTCCTCAAACTGCTCAGCTTGAGCAGATCCCTCCCACACCAACGCAAGACGACCCTCAAGTTGCAATTCTAAGCAGAGTCTCCACCGAGTTAGCTTTGCTATTAACATTTGTGCTGGATTACCATTACCTCTACTACAGAAAATTTAAAGGTAGAAGCAACCCACAATTCAGAACCGAGCACTAAGAAACGGTATATACTTTGTGCACTCACATTAACAATGTCATGCCCTGTGGAAAAATGTCAACGTACACTCCACAAACTTGTAATGCATGCCATGTATGCAAGATGATTAGACAGCGACAGTTATTGTATCTGTCTCATTGGTAAAGGTACATGATGCATGTAACCGTCGATGTGTTACTGATGTATTGCCTTTGTTTTTATTCACGCAATTAAAAAAAAACATGATAAAATTAATAAAATACAAAATATTTAACCAACATTTAGACCTGAGGAATAAGACACTTAAACCATACCTGCAAAACATATCTGATAATCTACAGTGATGATAATTTTAGGGATTTAACAAAAAAAAGATTTTAAAAAATACATTTAATAGCCACACATACCAATCGACGAATTTCTCGCTCACATTCCCTCTTAATTTTGGAGATCTCCTCCTGGTGTAAGTGATATACACTTCTTATTTCCGCAGCTTTCATTTTATCTGCTTGAATAACCACAGTCAAAGCTTCTTCCACCTGTTTCTTAGCTCCTTTCAGTTCAAAAATCTCTTGTTGCATTTTGATTTTCTCAAACTCAAAGCCCTTTTTGGCTTCCTCTTTTGCCTCACTGTAAAGAACAGTTTTAACTTTTTCTGGTGCTCCGTCCCGTAAAGCATTTACAATTGTTTGCAGTCTTAGATTTTCAGCATCCTTTATCTTAATAACCCTTACTAACTCCAACTCGTGTTGTCTTAATAACGATTCTCTGACAGCCTGTAGTTCCTTCATTTTCTCCTCATGAAGTTTGGCCTTCAATTCGGTGACAAAGACAATATTTTTATGCTGTTCGTGCTCACGGATTTGTCGGATTTCCTGGTTTTTCTCTCGTTCTAGTTTGTTGACCTGAAAGAGAAGGAAAAAGGGAAAAATAAATGGTCATTCTTTTCTCTTTTAGATACTTAAAGTGACTAAAGGGGATAATTCAAGGTTTCAATTGTTCAAGGTTTGAAAAGTATAATTCGTCGGCATGGAATCGACTGTTTAAAAGTCTATTGTCTTTTACTCAAGGGCAGTCTCTACATTTAGCAAAGAGTCCAAAAAGTCTCTCATTCTTGTACCAATTCAAGATTTTAAAGTAATACTCAGTTTTAAGATTTCAGTAAAAAAAAAAAAAAAAAATCCCCACAAAAACAAAACAACCAAAAAGTCAGATGGAACTTCTATAACACAAAGTAAACTTAAATAAGCCAAAGAACAAACATCGGGCTTATTCTCATATGAATAGGTTTTTTGTTTGTTTGTTTTATATATCATGTTAATGACACATCAGGTAAAAGGTTTATCTTGCAACACAGTTATTTAACATTAATCAAATTTGCTATGTATAGATTAAACTTAATTAGCTCAGCCATAGAGGCTGAGTGGCTGCGTAAAGATCTTCATGGCGAAGGAATAAAGGAAAGTAAAACGTTCCTTTCAAACCATTACAGGGGAACACTTAAGTAAGTAGAAGCATGATATAGGGTCAGGTATACAAGTTTGTATTCCTAATGCCAGTGTTCCTTTGACAGTGTTGTTTTTTCTCTCTCTCATGCATCATCATAGTGAGTAAGACAAACATGGTTACTCATTAAAATGTGAATTGCTGGGAATTCAGAGTACATTTTTTTTTTTGGTAACAATAGCAAAACAGAAAACTTAACAGATGTGCACAATTTTTCTAATTTGGCTATATTGACTCAGTCATATGCAACAAACACTATTTGGATCTGCTAAAGGTTCCTGTGACTGTGAATCATACGTACAGTAATGCTGATACTAACTGTACCATTCAGTAAACAATTTGCCACTAATATCCCTGCAATAAGTCATGTCAAGGGTATTCAAGGCCATTTAATATCCAAGATATGTTGTATACAATAATGGCAGTGAATTAGTTGAAGGAGTAGTAATGGATATCCCAATATCCAGGATTTTGTTTTTATATATACACTACTGAGACCTCCGCTCTCTGTCTATCAACAACCTACCATAACACCACCACCACCTGGAGGAACACTCTCCCAATATAGTATGATCAAAGTCAGATGTATCTCAAAAGTATACTCATACATTTTAGAGCTGGATTGAACAGCTTGATTATAACTATTCATTGTCATCATACTACGATCTGTTCTTACTTACATATACCCATAAGACAGCTCTAGAACGTTTTCATTCAATTCTGAAGAACATTAAGATCATAAACGTCCATTATAAACACATAGAAAATAGCAAGAGTTTCTAGATAAAGGATTACTCAGAACGAAGGCTGAAGATAAACTTACAGGCTAGAAAGCAACTACTTAAATCTAAACATTGAAAATATAGCATAAATGTTGTGTACAAAAAATGGTTAATAAAATAAAAATTATTATATATATATATATATATATATATATATATATTAAAAAAAATCTAAACAATCGATTCTTCTTTAAAATGACAAATTCCTATGAAATATTTCACTGGAGAAAAAAAAAATGTTTTGTAAATAATACACAAGCGGTTTATATACAGATTTATTTCCATGCAATGATTTTTAATAGCATGTTTACATCTAATTTTATATAAAATTTCAATGTTTTATTTTAGTTACATCCTTTCCTGTGATCAAACAGCTATGTTTTATTACTTCATACAAACGTATGTATTTAAAGTTTGTTACTTACCCATTATTTAGTATGAAGTCATGCCTTAAAATGTCCAATACATTGTATACTTTATTACTTTTTTTGCATTTATGTATTTGTTATCTAAAATTCTATTTTCAATATACGGGACAAAAAAAAGAATGTTATAAAAAGCTATAAAATGTCTGGCCACCACAGTTATTGTAATGATCACCCAATGAGTTTTATCTAAAGGGCGTAAGAGTTTTTTTTTGTGTGTGTGTTTTTAACGATGTGAAAAGTGAGATAACATAATTAGTTACATACACACAGAGGAAGTCTGGTAAAATGTATTGATATCAAATGTGATTTCAGGAATGTTTTTAAATAAAGGAAATCTGAGATTTAAATTCATTGTTTAGTGAATAAGCGAGTGCACTGGATTGTGTATTTTGTATGTTATAACATTTAGTTGCCCTTATGCAAGTCTGCATGCCCCACCCTTTAAGTAAGTTGCTAAATAGTATTTTATCAGTCGATGTATTCCGGTTTACCTTCTGCCCACATGTTCTAAGCTAAACTAATTAGTGAAAGATAATCTACAGATCCCATGCCTTCTGGGAAATGTCAATTTTTATTGAAACAAATTAGAAAAATTAGTGCTTGGTGCTTAGTTTGTTTTTTGATTTTCAGTACAGGATCTTCTTATTTTAGTGTCCTATTTTTTCTCATATATTTTAGCTTTTTACTGAAAGTTTTAAATCTTCTTGCAAACCCTTCCAAAATTGGAATTAATCATTTATTAAAAAAATATTAAAAAGGACACTCTACAACAGTGCTAATTTTGTTGACTAATTGCTGACTCTTGAGTTTAGCTCCACTGAGCTAACCAGACCAGGAAGTAACAGGACCAGTTGTCAGACAGCCAGGGGATGTAACAAGGTTTGTTTCTAAAAGTGCAAATTTCTACTGAAATCTAAACTTTTTGCAAAATTAAAAAAAGAGAGGACACTCTCTTTACATATAAAGAACTCCAGCAAGCTAAAGTGCCATAGCCAAGTAAAAGTATCAGTTAAATAGAATCTACAGCATATCACATAATTTACACAATAATGAAGCAGTCTAGACTGGCTATATAAACAGTCTCAAAGAAGAATAGGAGTGTGCTCCTATAGCCTTTAAGCATATTATACCTATAGGTGACACGGACAGCAAACAAAAATAAAAACTTTCCTAAAGATATGAAGCTACAGGAGTAGGTTGACACAAGGTATTACATAATATTATGAAAAATAAATTAAAGTATTGGGGGGGGGGAGGGAAGATTGATTTATCATTAACTTATACATTCTTCTAATCTTGTACTATTCCCTAGACCCCCATACACCCACACTGCCCCCATACCCCCATGCTGCCCCCCATACACACACACACTGCCCCCATACTGCCCCCCATACACCCGTTCTGCCCCCACGTACTGCCCCCCATACACACGTACTGCCCCCCATACACACGTACTGCCCATGTAATAATTGAATGCAGTGACAATTTATGATAATAAAGAGTGGACACATAGGCCTACAGATACAACCGGCCCTTTGAGGGTGACCAAACTGCTGATGCGGCCCCCGATGAATTTGAGTTTGACACCCCTGCCCTAGAGTATCCCTTTAAAATTACAAGGAGTGGTTATATTTGTTCCAATTTTCACACTGTTTACATTAGCAGGAATCTACATGACCTCTGTTTTATGAGTTTGCAGATAATTTCAAAAACAATGTTACGAAAGAAGCTATTTTTGTTACAAGGTCTTCTGGAGGACTCACATGAAAAACATTTTAATTTTCCCTTGATACATAGCTATGGATTAAAAATATATACATTTAAAAGTGATTGCAAGCCACTTTTTTTGGGTTCCTTTAAATAGGATTTGAAGTAATACTCCAAACACCATAACTACTGCAGTGTGCCCTGGTGCCCACCTCCCAGTGTAAGTAGTCAAGCCATTTTCGAATAGTTTGACTTCTTACCTGGGGTCCGTGGGACACTGCTCCCACCTCTACATTTCCACTCTTGTTAGTGATCGATTTGAACCCCAATAATTCTAGAAGCAGAAGAGGTTGCTGGTAGGATATTCCAATAGTTCATTTGAGCTACGTTCTGCAGTGAAGGGTCAGATCATTGGCTGAGAGAGTCAACTGATCAGCAAGCCACGCCCTGCCCCACAAGTCTTTGCTCATGGGGGCTTCCAGCGGATTAATCATAAGAAAAGGAGCAGGGAGCAACATCTGGCCTAAGCCAGGTAAGGAGGAGAAAATAAATAAATAAATAAAACCAGTATAAAAAAACGTTTTACAATGAGGAAGGTTGGAGGGGATGTGGGGGGTATGCACACACTGTAGTGGTTATGGTGCTTGGAATATTCTTTGAATAATTATGTGTCTGATGTCTACGTGAACATCACCTTAGTGGGTTTACATAAAAGTAAAACTCATAGGCAATAAATTAAATTATTACAATCTAGTTTACTCTGCTGAAAAAAAAAAAACAACCTTGAGAAAAAAAAAAAAAATATCTGCCACTTAAAAAATTTACACTGAAACCCAAATACTAGTTGGAATACATTCTTCAAACATTTATTACTCCTACTGGCAAAAGCGTGAAATGTGTTGATGTTGTAGTATAATACAGTCTGTTTTTTCTGCAGTTAAAGCGTTTTATTGTGGCTATATGAAATTATACACGTACAGGTCACTGACAAAGTTCTGTAAATACTTCCAAAACCACTTCGGACCATTTCCCAAATATAAATGCATGCTAAATGCAGATCTAATCGAATGAATATAGCTGCAGTAACAGCCTAAGGGTGAAATGCATGCACATTAAATTTGTAAAAAGCTCACAATGAAACAGACACTGGTTTGACATGGGGAAGAGAGTGTTTATGTTGTTATTGATTCACTTAGAATTTCATGAGAACTTGCATTTATTAAAGGACGATACACTATATCCAAAAGAAAGAGTGTGTTTGGAAGTACATTGTGGCTGCTAGATGGTTTTATTTGTTTAATATAAAATGTCTACATTCCATAAAGAAACTGTAAGCCAGGAAAATAAATGCTTCTATTAGTTAAGTAAATAAATCTCTAGACCTTGACTGACAAGGGTAATGATCAACTATTTGATAAACTGCAATCGTAATGGATACTGATCGATAGAAGTAATACTAGATTGGACACCTGCCATGGAAATGATCGTATCTGGAAATATTGGTAATGCAGTAATTATATTTGAGTCGAGATTGAGACTCCTCTCCGATTGGTATTTTCAAGGTTGGTTTGGGTGAGGCCAAGATGAAGAGTAGATGCCAAAAGGGGAAATGGGTAACGAGTACTTGGAAAACATGCTAAAGTGAACTGAATGTTTTTTGACTTGCAGTGAGGATGCTGTATGTGTTATATTGGGGGAGGCTTGACCCTCAGCAAGAATGGTGATTATTAGAGAACTGGGAGAGTAACCCAGCAGCAAAATTCTGATTCACCGAGACATGACACATCAGTAGGCAGCGTTAAAGGACCACTATAGTGCCAGGAAAACAAACCCATTTTCCTGGCACTATAGGGTCATTAGGCCCCCACACTCAGGGTCCCACTCTAGCCAGGCTGAAGGGGGAGGAAGAGGTTATTCACTTACCTTTCTCCAGCTTTCCTATGGACATCCAGTGTCTTCTCACTGTGATTTTCACAGTGAGAGGCGCGGAAGCGCCTCTAGCGGCTGTCAATGAGACAGCCACAAGAGGCTGGATTAACACTATTGTAAACATAGCAGTTTCTCTGAAACTGCTATGTTTACAGCTGGAGGGTTAACCCTAGATGGACCTGGCACCCAGACCACTTCATTGAGCTGAAGTGGTCATGGTGCCTATAGTGGTCCTTTAACAATGATCTGCACCTGCTAGAGGTGCAGATCACACACTCCTTCACAACAGTAATTGGCACTGGGATGGTAAGGAAGATATTTTGAACTACCAGTCAGGTGTCACGTATTCATCCGCTTATAGAAATGTGGTTAATGACATTTACTGTCCACACAGGAAAAGTTGTGCCGAGCAGCAACCTAATCCACAGAAGGGTTAATGCTGAGCAGCAATTATGCAAATGAAACCTGGTAACTGACTTTGGGGTCAAAGGCAGGTTACAGCCGATCAGAAAGAAAGGAGGGGTATTTAGGCCCAGTTCTCAGCCTGCTCAGTGCCCTGTCGTGGTTTCCCTTGTGTTTGTCTGAGAGCGCGTTCCTGTTTATAGTTTTCTACCTGTTTTTTGACTTTGGCTTTGTTTATTGACTTCTCTATATTCTGGTATCCTGACTCCTGGCTTTCCTCATCGCTGTGTCCCTTTCTGTGTTCCCTGACCTCGGCTAGTATTTTTGACTATTCTTTGTACGTTAAATCCGGCCATTCTAAGGACCGGTAATACGTTACTTATTTGTCATCCGTGCTGTACAGTTCTACGTGCTGGATCAAACAGTAATCCTGACATTACGACATGGCCATAGATCCTGTAGAACTGTGTCAGCACATAGCTGCTTGCGAGAGGAAATTAGAGGAGAATGATCACCGCATGGATCAATTCACTCAGGCTTTAAGTACGCTTCTCGCTAGAACGGAGCATCTGCAGCCTGCAGCGTCTCCTCCTATAGCACCTCTACCCTGTGTACCTCCACCCACTGTTAATATGACTCCTAGCATCTCCTTATCACCATCCTTACAGTTTGATGGCAATATCCAGGAATGCAGGGGTTTTCTTAATCAGGTGGAGTACCATTTTGAGGCCTCACCAGGGTCATTCCCCACGGACAGAGCAAGAATTGGTTATCTAATGAATCAATTAAAGGGCAAGGCCCTTGCCTGGGCTAATCCGTTGTGGGAGAGTAATCGGAGCATAGCTCATAATTACCAGGAATTCCTTGCCGAATTCAAGCTCACGTTTGAGCCATTGGGTAGAGAGGATGACGCCTCCACTGCCCTAATGCACATCAGACAAGGTAACCGGTCTATCTCGGATTATGCTATTGAATTCTGTACCTTAGATTCCGAGGTAGACTGGACTAACAATGGGTTAATCTCAGCATTCAAAAAGGTTCTCTCAGAGACTATACTAGATGAGATAGCCGCTAAAGAATTACCTAAGAGTCTTAACGAATTTATTACGTTTGTCATGCATATTGATAATAGGTTAAGACTCAGAGAAGTCACCAGAAGCAAGACCAGACGTACGGCTATGTCCCTAGCACCTCAATTCTCTAAACCTGTTTTGTCTAACCTCCCTGTACAGTCCGAACCCGAACCTATGCAGTTGGGGGTCACTAGACTGTCAGAGGCCGAAAAACAGTATAGGAGAAGGGAGGGGTTATGCCTAGAAAGGGACATATGATAACTAATTGTCCAGTGCGTCCGGAAAACTTCCGCACCTAAGAACCTTAAGGGGACAGATCTTAGGTGTGATGGAGTTGTCCTCTAACAAAAACAAAAGTAGATTCCTCCTTGAGGTATCTATTTCCCTTGATAACAAGAAGTTTTCTTGCAGTGCCCTAATGGACCCAGGTGCTGCTGGAAATTTTATTGATGTCCAGTTTATTAGGGGTAATGAGATACTGGTCAGGGAGAGACCTACGCCGCTAGCTGTAGAGGCTATTGATGGTAGACCACTCACACAACCGCTTATAACCCACGAAACTGTCCCTATTACGATCTCCATTGGGGCCTCCCATAGGGAGGAGATGACGTTTCAGGTTATTACTTCTCCATCATGTCCTATCATATTAGGGTTTCCGTGGCTGAATAAGCACAATCCCTATATTGACTGGTCTAATGGGGAGATATTAGAATGGGGTAAAGAGTGTATGGGGAGATGTATAAAACCAGTACTAAAGAGATTGGATACTATTGACCTTCCCACTACCACTCCCCAAACTCCTGGAGTTCCCATACAATACCGAGAACTTCAGGAGGTGTTTAACAAGGCTCAATCTGATGTATTGCCTCCCCACAGAGCATATGACTGTGCCATTAACCTGTTTCCAGGCGCTATGCCACCTAAGGGGGCAGTTTATGCCTTATCTCCCCAGGAGAGTAAAATAATGGAGGAATACATCAAAGAATCCTTGAGCAAAGGGCACATAAGAAAGTCATCCTCACCAGCTGGTGCAGGATTCTTTTTTGTTGAGAAAAAGGGTGGTGAGTTACGCCCTTGCATAGACTACAGGGCACTTAATAAAATCACTGTAAAAAATGCATACCCTATCCCACTCATTTCCGAATTGTTCGATAGACTTCAGGGAGCTAAAGTATTTACTAAGCTTGACCTTAGGAGCGCTTACAATTTGGTTAGAATTAAAGAGAATCATGAGTGGAAGACGGCATTTAATACCCGTAGTGGACACTATGAATATCTGGTAATGCCATTTGGGTTATGCAACGCCCTGGCCGTATTCCAAGACTTTATACAGGGAGTGCAGAATTATTAGGCAAGTTGTATTTTTGAGGATTAATTTTATTATTGAACAACAACCATGTTCTCAATGAACCCAAAAAACTCATTAATATCAAAGCTGAATATTTTTGGAAGTAGTTTTTAGTTTGTTTTTAGTTTAGCTATGTTAGGGGGATATCTGTGTGTGCAGGTGACTATTACTGTGCATAATTATTAGGCAACTTAACAAAAACAAATATATACCCATTTCAATTATTTATTATTACCAGTGAAACCAATATAACATCTCAACATTCACAAATATACATTTCTGACATTCAAAACAAAACAAAAACAAATCAGTGACCAATATAGCCACCTTTCTTTGCAAGGACACTCAAAAGCCTGCCATCCATGGATTCTGTCAGTGTTTTGATCTGTTCACCATCAACATTGCGTGCAGCAGCAACCACAGCCTCCCAGACACTGTTCAGAGAGGTGTACTGTTTTCCCTCCTTGTAAATCTCACATTTGATGATGGACCACAGGTTCTCAATGGGGTTCAGATCAGGTGAACAAGGAGGCCATGTCATTAGATTTTCTTCTTTTATACCCTTTCTTGCCAGCCACGCTGTGGAGTACTTGGACGCGTGTGATGGAGCATTGTCCTGCATGAAAATCATGTTTTTCTTGAAGGATGCAGACTTCTTCCTGTACCACTGCTTGAAGAAGGTGTCTTCCAGGAACTGGCAGTAGGACTGGGAGTTGAGCTTGACTCCATCCTCAACCCGAAAAGGCCCCACAAGCTCATCTTTGATGATACCAGCCCAAACCAGTACTCCACCTCCACCTTGCTGGCGTCTGAGTCGGACTGGAGCTCTCTGCCCTTTACCAATCCAGCCACGGGCCCATCCATCTGGCCCATCAAGACTCACTCTCATTTCATCAGTCCATAAAACCTTAGAAAAATCAGTCTTGAGATATTTCTTGGCCCAGTCTTGACGTTTCAGCTTGTGTGTCTTGTTCAGTGGTGGTCGTCTTTCAGCCTTTCTTACCTTGGCCATGTCTCTGAGTATTGCACACCTTGTGCTTTTGGGCACTCCAGTGATGTTGCAGCTCTGAAATATGGCCAAACTGGTGGCAAGTGGCATCGTGGCAGCTGCACGCTTGACTTTTCTCAGTTCATGGGCAGTTATTTTGCGCCTTGGTTTTTCCACACGCTTCTTGCGACCCTGTTGACTATTTTGAATGAAACGCTTGATTGTTCGATGATCACGCTTCAGAAGCTTTGCAATTTTAAGAGTGCTGCATCCCTCTGCAAGATATCTCACTATTTTTGACTTTTCTGAGCCTGTCAAGTCCTTCTTTTGACCCATTTTGCCAAAGGAAAGGAAGTTGCCTAATAATTATGCACACCTGATATAGGGTGTTGATGTCATTAGACCACACCCCTTCTCATTACAGAGATGCACATCACCTAATATGCTTAATTGGTAGTAGGCTTTCGAGCCTATACAGCTTGGAGTAAGACAACATGCATAAAGAGGATGATGTGGTCAAAATACTCATTTGCCTAATAATTCTGCACTCCCTGTAAATGATGTACTCAGGGAATTCATTTACTCATTTGTCTTGGTTTATTTGGATGATATTTTGGTGTATTACCCTGATCTTCAGACTCACCACTCCCATGTGAAACAGGTTCTGCAGATGTTGTTGAAAAATAAACTTTATTGCAAATTAGAGAAGTGCATATTTGACCAGCCTGAAGTCCACTTTTTGGGTTACAACATCTCTGCATCGGGATTTCAAATGGATCCTAAAAAACTAGAGGCTGTACTACACTGGCCATTACCCTCTGGTTTAAAAGACATTCAAAGGTTTATTGGTTTTGCCAACTATTACAGAAGATTCATCAAGGGATTTTCTTCTGTAATAGCCCCAATCACAAATATGACTCGCAAAGGGGTTAGTAGCATGGTATGGTCCAAAGAGGCTGTGAATGCTTTTGAGACTCTTAAACAAAGATTTGCCTCTGCGGACATACTAAAACATCCCGACACTAGTAAACCTTTTATATTGGAGGTTGATGCATCCGAGACAGGGGTAGGGGCTGTTCTCTCTCAGAGAGAAAGCCAGGGAACACCATTGCATCCTTGTGGCTACTTCTCCAGAAAGATGTCTCCTGCTGAGCGCAACTATGATATTGGCAATAGAGAACTGTTGGCCATTATTCTTGCCCTCAAGGAGTGGCGACATCTTTTGGAGGGTTCCAAGGACCACCTGTTGATCATAACCGACCACAAAAATCTGGCATATATAGGGGATGCCAAACGTTTGTCTTCCAGACAGGCTAGATGGTCACTATTCCTTTCACGTTTTAACTTTCTCATTACTTATAGACCTGGTTCTAAAAATACCAAGGCTGATGCCTTGTCCAGGCAATTTGATAATGAGTCAGCTCCGGAACAGGTGACATCTCCTATTATTCCACCAGAGTGTATTATTGCCACTACTGTCCTCTCACTGTCTTCTCCACTGCTTGGCAGCATACTGGAGGCCCAGCCTCAGGCACCCAGTGGTAAACCGTGTGATAAACTGTTCGTTCCCCTATGTGAAAGGGTTAATATCATGAAAGTGTTCCATGACAATATAACTGCTGGACACCCGGGCATCAATAAGTCCACTGCCGCGATCACTAGCTCATTTTGGTGGGATTCACTCAGGAAAGATGTAAAGGAGTATGTGCAGGCATGTTCTGTGTGTGCAGTTTCTAAGGTGACTCATGCACTTCCTTGTGGCCTGTTGCAGCCTCTTCCTGTTCCTGAGATTCCATGGTCCCACTTATCCATGGACTTTATTGTAGAGCTTCCTAGCTCTGCTGGGTTCACTACTATTCTCATGGTTGTAGACCGATTTTCTAAGATGGCTCACTTCATTCCTCTCAAGAAGTTGCCATCTTCGCAAGATTTGGTCCTAATTTTCATACGTGAAATTGTCCGTTTGCATGGCATCCCCCACAATATTGTGTCTGATAGGGGCTCTCAGTTTGTGTCCAGGTTCTGGAGGGCGTTCAGTAAACAATTGGGGATTGATCTCTCCTTCTCCTCCTCCTACCATCCACAGACCAATGGTACAGCTGAGAGGGCTAACCAGTCATTAGAAGTTTATTTGCGTTGTTTTATTAATAGCACACAAGACAATTGGTCCGAACTACTCCCGTGGGCCGAGTTCGCTAGAAACAATGCTGTTCATGACTCCTCTGGGCACAGTCCATTTTTTGTCAATAATGGTAGGCATCCTACGGTTCTCCCTGCGGTATTTTCTGATACTGCCATTCCTGCTCTGGATGAGCGTCTGGCCTCCATTCGGGATACCTGGGTTAAGGTTCAAACTGCTTTAGGGGCTGCTGCTGAACGCTTCAAACATTTTGCTGATAAGCGTAGGAGTGCCAACCCGGTGTACAAGTGGGGGACCGGGTTTGGTTGTCATCTCGCAACATCAAGCTTAAGGTCCCTAGCATGAAGTTTGCCCCCAGATTCCTTGGTCCCTATAGAGTGCTTCGTAGGATCAATCCAGTGTCTTACTCTCTGGCTCTTCCTGCATCTTTAGGGATTCCCAACACTTTTCATGTGTCCTTACTCAAACCTCTTGTCTGCAATAGATATACTGTTCCTTGTGTTCCTCCCCCTCCGGTGGTGGTGGGTGGTCAGGAAGAGTATGAGGTATCTTCTATCGTGGATTCTAGGTTTTCTCGGGGCACTTTACAGTACTTGGTTGTTTGGAAAGGTTACGGTCCTGCTGATCGTTCTTGGGTTTCGGCTCCTGACCTGCATGCGGGCCGTAAGATCCGCGCTTTTCACGCTAAATTTCCTCTCAAGCCTGGTCCTGTCCGCCCGGTGGGCGTTCTTCAGGTGGGGGGTAATGTCACGTATTCATCCGCTTATAGAAATGTGGTTAATGACATTTACTGTCCACACAGGAAAAGTTTTGCCGAGCAGCAACCTAATCCACAGAAGGGTTAATGCTGAGCAGCAATTATGCAAATGAAACCTGGTAACTGACTTTGGGGTCAAAGGCCGGTTACAGCCTATCAGAACTAAAGGAGGGGTATTTAGGCCCAGTTCTCAGCCTGCTCAGTGCCCTGTCGTGGTTTCCCTTGTGGTTGTCCGAGAGCGCGTTCCTGTTTATAGTTTTCTACCTGGTTTTTTACTTTGGCTTTGTTTATTGACTTCTCTATATTCTGGTATCCTGACTCCTGGCTTTCCTCATCGCTGTGTCCCTTTCTGTGTTCCCTGACCTCGGCTAGTATTTTTGACTATTCTTTGTACGTTAAATCCGGCTATTCTAAGGACCGGTAATACGTTACTTATTTGTCATCCGTGCTGTACAGTTCTACGTGCTGGATCAAACAGTAATCCTGACATCAGGTTACTGAGTTGCAGAGTGCCCCTTTCAGCCATCACTCCAGGTGAATGCCAGTTTACAGTAAGGCTGACTCAGATTCCCATGCCTTCATAAGGGCTAGGCTGGAGCAGTGACATAATAGGACCTTTTAGTGACTTCATGGCCTTTTAACAACTGAATATAGTTGGTAATTTAGAACTCTCATAAAATGTCTTAGGTCTTTCTCTAGTCTAGTGAATTCAATGTGATATGCATTGTATTTTATTTAACTTAGTTCATTTTATTAGAAAGATGTTTGTAATTGTCTCATTTATTGTTAAATCTCCTAATTTATTGTAAAGCGCTACGGAATTTGTTGGCGCTATATAAATGCCCATAATAATAATAATAATAATAATAATAATAATATCAATTGTGAGGCAAAACTGTTAAAGTAAATTAACAGACATTCTAAAGACTTCCTTAACGCTTACTGAAAACAAACTATTAAATGGAGTGTGTTTAACTTTTCCGATATATTTATTTCTGTTTCGGGTTGCTTTAATATTGCATTGTCTAACTGAAGCAGGGCAACACATTCACAAACTATTCATATACTCAATAGACATTATCATTTTTAGGGTTTGGTTTGATGAAGCAACCAATTGGATGAGGGAGTTTGAACTTCACAAATCAAAAAAAAAATAGGAGAGGAAGGTTAAACGAGCCTGAATTTGTCTATAGCAGCACATAGTGGTCCATCGATGCACTGTAATTGTATGACTACAAATAATAAAAAGGATGTAGAAGATGCACACCTTACTCTTTTCCTGTTGGAGCTCGATTTGAATCTCAGTGAGCTTGGCTCGTAGGTCTTCATTAGCAGATTGTAAAGAAGCAAAGGCATCAGGTTTGTCTCCCTTAGCTCTGCTGCTTGAACCTTTCTTTGACATTGTGAGGTGGAGAAGTCAGGGAGGTTGCAGTCCCAGTCAGAGAGAGAACCTCTCTGCTATACAGAGCTCGATGCCGACTTTTGTTTTCTCTACATTTTTCTATTTATCTAGAAAAGAAACAGAAAACATTTACATCATTGTATACCAAGGTCTTAACAACATAGTCTAAGAGCTATACCATAAGGTAGAGATGGTCAAAATTTAGATGCTAAGCTTCTGTTAGAAGATTCAGTTTTAGAACAGTCCTGCAGAACTTCTGGGTATCCTAACAGAATATTCAAGGATATAATCTTTCAATGTAGGGGAATAGCTGCTTGATCAAAGGATAAATCTGACTGCCATTCTGGGGTCAAGAAGGAATTTTTTTCCTAGTTTGTTGAAAAATTGGAAGTGCTTCAAACAGTGTTTTTTTTTTTACCTTCTTTTGGATCTACAGCAAAAAACAAATGTGAGGAAGGCTGAACTTGATGGACGCAAGTCTCTTTGTAACTATGTAACCTCAATGATCAGTATCAGCCTGAAACCCAATTATGCCATTAAATGCAGTCACACCAAAGGATCTGCACGTCAATTGATCCAGTACGACTAAATGCATGGTGGTTAATCGATTTTGAACAAAAGAAGCTTTTCTCTACAATATATTCTACTGTAGAGACCACAAGCTTAGTTCCATAGTTCTGGTTAATGAAATAAAACGGTTATCCCAAGATATAGTTTAGACAGATAAAACATAAGGATCCATTTAATTCTTCTGGATAAGCTTTTCAAATGATAATCTGCTAGAAAAACTTTTCAAAGGTTTTATTTATAAAAATTTGATAGACATTAATGGAGACTGCTGTAGATAATCTGTTAGAAAAACCTTTCAAATTAAGTGTGATTATTTGAAAAGCCTATCCAAAAATTTTTAAATAAAAATGTAATCAAGCATAATAACATGTATATCTAGGTAGAGATTAAAGAATGTGTATGTAACGAACATAAACCTCTTAATTTCAAATACGGTTTAATCTGATGTAAAGGAGTTAATATCAATATGGATATTGGATTTCATAAACAAAATGTATAAAACATGTTTAAAGCAAATATTTATTAAGGAAAGTCATTTGAATCTTGTATAACTGCAGAGCTAAAGAATAGAAAATAAGTCTATAGACTTTGCTTTAATGTCATTGTACATCTGAATGCAATCCTATTTGAGCAAAAGTCGTAAAAATCATGCTTTGCATGCCTTTAGAATGACAAAGCATCATGGAAGCTGTAGTTTTAAAACAACGATGTTCTGAAATAGTTCATACTAACATCTGGACATAAAAAGTGAATGGAATTATACAAAAATAGGTTTGTTTCTTTTGTTGGTTTTTAATTGGGATGTATAGTACACAACAGTACTTCCTTACAAGGTTATTTTACAATCATTATGTACATTTACTTTAAAGAGATATGGATTCTGCAAAGACAAAGGACTAGCAACAAAGCTATAAACTGGAAATTACCATATATGGACCTGTTAAACATCAGGAGAAATAACCAACTTGGGGGGGGGAGGAGGGAGGGAGGATTTAAATTGGCAACTTAATTTGGCCGCCCAGTCACATATTTGCTACCAACTTTCACTGCCCAGCAGCTTCCAATATTGGGAGGTATGAAATAGGGACATTGGGTGGGCCTATTAGTGTATCTGTGACACCACTTGCATCATGGGCAAAGCAGTATATAGGCAGTACTACATGGAAAGGGGCAAGGGGAGTCAGCCAGACGCAAGTGTGTACCAGGGTGACTATTACAAATGGACAAGAGGGTTCCCAATCCCCTGGCCCATTAAAATCATAACTCTCATCTCCATTACTCCATATGGCAGGGGATCTCCAATCCCACTGGAATTAAATAAAACCAACCTCCATTATTAGAATGCCCAGTAAAGTTTATACACACAAATAAATAAAATAAATACAAGAGGTTAATCTCCGTTTCCATCATAAAATTATTTTATTTTTTTTTAAACCACAAACATATTTTTCACACTAAGTATTTACATTACATTACGTTAGGCTTGGTACTACTTTTAATGGTGTAACCATTAAATCAAAGGATGATATTTTGGTTAATAAAAACTCCACTGGCGAATTTCTCATTTCCATTTTAGTCGTTTAGCAATTAAACGCCTTGAAAGCAGAGTGCAAGGCAAGTGAAGTGTTACATTTTTTTGTTTGTTTGTTTTTTTATACATAATGTAAGCCACCACTATTTTTGTGTAATAATGCAAAACTATATTTATGGATCTGCCTTTTTACAAAATCGTTTTTTTTTATGGAACGTTATAGAAACCTTATTTATTTCAATATTCTAAAGTCAAGACAGTTTAATTTGTGATGAAAAATATATCCTGGTAAATGGTTTAACATAGGATGAGAATTGTGCTCCGATAGAAAGGATTTGGCCATTCAGTGTTTGACCAGATACAATGACCTAGTTTTCCTCCCTAAAAGTCTAAGCAGAGCTTTTGCTTTGAGTTGCTGAAAAGCTTTTAGATTGACCGTGTAACGAGTTTGATAGAATGTTCAGAATGCTTTATCATAATAAAATTAAGGCTCCAATAACTGCAGTTGAGCCATGGCTGAAGGCATGCAACAAAATACGCTGTAATGGGGTTTCTTTTGTATGCAATTCTTCAGATAATATAAATAGTCTCTGGCATTCTTGTGCAGTCTTCCTTGGATTTTAGTGACAACATTCTAAACCGTTTTCTGCCACTGGTAATAACCCCTGCAGTGGTGCTATGTGCAGATCTTGTTTATCCAAGCCCAGAGTCTCTACTGTCAGTGAAAGAAAATTCCAGAATCTCATGCGACTACACAACACTCCAGTGTCCATTCAGTTTCCAGCGTTTCACTTCGTATAGAAGCATTTGTCTAGAATTCTCCAGTTAAAAGGACATTATAGTCTCCAGAAGCACTACAGCTTAATGTAGTGGTTCTGTCGTCTATAGCATGTTCCTGCAGGGCCAACAATGTAAATGCTGTTCATATTACGGCCTCGTAACAGTTCTAGTGTCAGTCACTCGGACTGCCACTAGAGGTTGCTTTGTATGTCAGTGCTGCACAATGTGAAGAACTTACCTTCAGTGTATCCATGCAGAATGCTCTTCAATGGTTCAATGCATCTTTATGAGGAGATGCTAATTGGCTTTTTGTGGTAGCCTCCTAGTGCTCCTTATGGGAAAGCATTGGTTTGGTGGAGATCATCAAGATTGAGCTCAGCCGTGAACAGCTGTAGCGAGAACAGAACTTCGATGTAGAAAAGGTTAAATACCTTTCTACTCCATTCTGAGCCGAATCGGCAGCGGGAGCGGGGCTTAATACAGCCCTTACCCGCTGCTGTTACTGCTGCACATGGAGTTGCAGCAAGAAGGAATCCCTGCCTCTCCACCTAACAGGCTCCAAGGAAGGACTTCAGGGAATCCACTCCTCCTCCAGCTCCTGTCTGTAAGTAATAGTGTGTGTGTGACTGTCTGTAAAACTGTCTTCCTGTGTTTGTGTGTGTGTGTCTGCATGCCTGTAACGGTGTTTGTGTGTGTCTCTGCATGCCTGTAATTGTGTATGTGTGTGTGACTGCATGCCTGTAACTGTGTGTGTGTCTGCCGGTAACTGTGTATGTGTGTGTGTGTGTGTGTGTGTGACTGCATGCCTGTAACTGTGTGTGTGTGACTGTAACTGTGTGTGTGACTGTAACTGTGTGTGTGACTGTAACTGTGTATGTGTGTGCGACTCTCTGCCTGTGACTGTATATGTGATTGTCTGCCAATAACTGTGTGTGGGACTGCCTGGCTATGACTGTGTGACTACCTGTAACTGACTGTGTGTGTAACTGTCTGTCTATAACTGTGTGTGTAACTGTCTGCATGTGACTATGTATGTGTGACTGTCTACCTGTGACTGTTTGATGTTGCCTGTAACCATGTGTGACTGTCTGTGACTGTGTGCATGTGACTGTCTGCTGCTGCCTTTTACTGTGTGTGACTGTCTGCCTGTGAGCACGCGCGTGTGTGAATGTTTATGTGATTGTCTGCCTGTAAATGTGTGTGTGTGTGACTGTCTGCCTGTAAATATGTGTGTGTGTGTGTGTGTGACTGTCTGCCTGTAAATGTGTGTGTGTGTGTGTGTGTGTGTGTGACTGTCTGCCTGTAAATGTGTGTGTGTGTGTGACTGTCTGCCTGTAAATGTGTGTGGGGGGCTGCAGGGATTTTGTAGAAGGGGGCAGGGGTTTTGTATTGGGACAGGAGTCTTTATAGGGGTTTTGTAGACGGGGGGCAGTACAGGATTTGTAGACGGGGCGGGACAGGGGTTTTGTAGGAGGGGGTGGGGCACACAAGGGTTTTGTAGAAGGGGGCTGACAGCGGTTTTGCAAAGTTTCCAAATTTGTTCAATACATAAAAAAAAAAAAAAAGGAAAAAAAAGGGTTTTTTTGTTTGTTTTTTTTTTGAGGGGGGTTGTGGAGGGTGCCAAGCCCAGGATCCGCCCCGGCTGCCAAATGCTCTAGTTACGCCCCTGCTGTCAGTTAAACGTTTAAAGTTTTTTTTTTTAACCCTTTGCTCAGCAGGGGGGAGGACAAGAATTTCAGTGGAAAGGGACACTATAGCGTTAGGAATACACTTTTGCTATAGTGTTTCTTAAAGATTATTCTCTTAGGTTGAGTTATCTGGAGCATTTTGTGCCTCAAATTCCAGGTATAGTGTAAGCTCAACAAAGCATCGTGACAGATTTTAAATGGTAAAGTGTCCCCAATGTCTGACCTTCATGAGAACATATGATTTCTATTTTGAAATGATCCTGCCTGCTTTTTTTTTTTTTTTACCTGAATTTACTCAAGCAGTAATCTTAATTAAATTATTGCCATACCATATATCTGTCAATATTTCTTGAACTCAAAGAACATTGACGCAGTCCTTGTCACATGTCTACAAACACACTGATTCGGTAAATCTAAAATATTCTGAAGCAACATAAAGTGAAAGCAATCAGAAAACAATATATAATACCAATATAAAGCAGGTTACAAATGTCATTGCTGTCAAAATCCTCTATATATAGTT